GAAGTTCCGGGAAAGTTCAGGTTAAGGTACGACAGGTTCAGGGGGTTTATGACTGTAAGCTTAGAGCTTAGGGTTTTTAGTGGTTGAGGGTATAGAAGAGCTGTTCAGGGTTGAGGGTGATTAGGGATTAGGGATTAGGGATTAGGGATTAGGGTTTAGGGTTTAGGGTTTAGGGTTTAGGGTTGATTGGCTTCAGACAAAATCGACCTGTGTTCTTGATGTTTCTACAAGCCCGAAAGCATGCGCATGGTGGACATATAAGCGCAGAGAAGTTTTCTAGGTTCTGCTGATTGAACCGGCTCCTGTTATGATCAGGATTTGCAATTTTTAATGGGTCTATGTTATTGTCGACGTCTGAACCTTTAGCTACCCGGCCTTGCCTTAAGAGCACAGGTATCCAGGCAGTCGGCTCCAGAAATGTGACGTTCAAGCCACTGGCTCACCAACGCAAAGCCCCGGAAAAGGATTTGGGATGTTTAGGTCTGACTTCGTTGATTTTGGGCTGTGTGGACTCGGGTCTTTAGGGTTTAGGGTTTAGTTTGTGGCTGAGAGTTTGGGATGTTTAGGGTTGTCAGCATCGAAGGACATCCCGAATAGAAAAGCAGTCGTGGTCGTGGTGCCGCTGTGACCAGGTTCCCTTATAGTACACATATATATATATATATATATGTGTGTATATATACACATGTATACACACGCTGTCTTTGTTTGAACTCGCTGCTTACCGTTAAAGTTAAAGGTAATGCGTCAGGGTTAACTAATTGATTGGGCTTTAGGGTTACCTATCCTCGTAACCCCAACACTGCAAAAAGAACAACTGCAGCGCTTGGTAGAGCTTACAGAGGTATTATGGACTTTGAACCTGAACGTAGTCCCTGTCTGTGAGATTCCCTTTCGTTCCAACTTACATGCTTGCCTGCCTTTTAGGATCCCGGCTAATGTAGGAACCTGAATAAGAAACCCTGGGCCTAGAACCCCAAAATCGTAGGGTTCATATCAGGAACCTAATAAAGCCCCAAAGCTTCTTAATCAGGTTCCTACATTCCCAGAGACTCCAATACCCCTTAATTAGGGAATTATTCCTTAAATCATATTATGGGCCCTACTAAAATTTAAGGTATATTCCTTAATTAAGGGATATTGGAGTCTCTGGGTTACACCCCATAGCAGGAAGCCTCGTAGTCAGCCTAAAAGGAACCATTTCCCATAGGCTCCATAGTAGTTCCTTTTGGGGTTCGTATTATCAGAATCCTATAAGTTAATCTCAAAAAGGAACTACCGGTTCCCTGTGTTCCTGGGTCCTGGGTTTTAAGGGGACTGGCCCGGGTCAGAGTTTACTGTTTGGGGATTAAGGTCTGTTTTTCGGCTTAAGGCTTTTTGGGGCTTTAGGCTGTCGGACTGCGTACCTTAAGCCTCAGTACGAATGTTTCTGCTGCAGTCCTGGTAGCGCGATCCTCGTTCCTGAGTTGTGATTTTTCTAGCTTGATCCTCAATTCATATTGTAGGGTTTAGGGCTTTCCGGGCTCAGAGTTTAGGGTTAACCTCTGTAGTACACATCCCTAACCTCATGTTGAAGAAGTTGCTTTCTGTTTTCTTTCCGTACAGTGGTTAGGTGCTGTCCATCGGCCTGGTAATCCTCCTGTCCGCGGTTTTCGTTGCCGCCGCTCAGACAAGATTTGCTCGTTTATCCTTGTCCAGAACTTCAGGTTGCTCTAATCAAAGGGGAAAAGGAGGGACCCTTAATGGGGACCCCTACCCTGTAATGGGCCATAAATAATGGGTATATTCTAGCTATATTAACGGTATATACCTAAGGGTCCTTATAAAGGGTCCCTCCTTTTACCCTTGGATCTAAATCAATATACGGCCACAGTGTAGGGTTTCGGGTTTTGGGCTAGGTAGACGGTTCGCGAATATTGCCCCTTTCATTTTTCCGGTGTTCCCACATTGAAATTGAAAAACAGGCCTAGGGTACCCGTATTCGTACCGCGCTTCCAGCAAAGTGCCGAAACCCTTTAGTCAGAACTTGGCTTATCTAGGGTTTAGTTAGAGTTAGGATGAACTCAACTCAGGAACAGCTGAAGGAGGCCCCTTGCCGATTATAGAACCCTTGAAGGAACCCACCAATTCTGGGCCCTGAACAGATTACATCTGGTGCGTTCGTGGTTTGATGCCCTTCCGAGCCTTGAGGGAGGTTTGATTCGATCTGGTCCGTTCGGGTCTACGTTTTAGGGATTGGGGAAGGTTCGGTTTTTCGGGTTTACGGTGGGGGGTTTAAGGCGGTTTAGGCCAATGCGAAACATTTTTATCTAATATATACGGGCCCTAATAATTCGAACAGGGTTTCGGAGTATAGGGTATAGTAAAGTATACAATGCAGCTACAATAGGAATCCTGCAAGGATAGTAGCTAGCAGAAGGGCGTGCTCAGCCTGAACACCATGTGACAGAAGATGCTTGTTCATCCAGGCGATCGCCAAAAAACTCTTCAATCATCTTACATCTATACCCATATTTCTCTCTCTCTCTCTCTCTCTCTCTCTCTCTGTGCACGTACACATGTATGTATGTGTGTATGTTTCTATGTGTGTATGTATGTATGTACGTACGCATGCATGTAGGTATATGACATGTGTATCTACATGCGTATGTGTATATGTATGTGTATATATATATATATACACACATGTATATCTGTACATGCATAAGTATACACACATCACACATATGTGCCGGCGGATAGTTTATATACATCTATTTGCATACTTACATAGCTACATGCACACGTACACACAGACAGACACAGACACAGACACAGACACAGACGCAGACGCAGACGCAGACGCAGACACAGACACAGACACAGACACAGACACACACACCCACACACACACACACACACACACACACACACACACACACCAACCTATGGCACCTTACGCGTATTGCCCCAGGTAGAATGCAGAACAGTCTACCAGAGCCCTCGGGCCGGATCCGGAACCCTTCTAGGATTTTTCGAGTAGATTTATGGGGTTTAAGGTTTAGGGTTCAGGGTTTAGGATTTTTTTTGAGTAGGTTTATGGGGTTTGGGGTTTTAGGCGTTTGAGAAGATGTACCGGGCCCACAGCTGTACAGTCCTAAACCCCTATGCCCTATGCCATACAAAACCCGCAGCTTGCACAGACCCCTATAATACTGCTGATGGACAAAATCCGGCATGACCCATTATAAGGAATATACCATAGTTCCCATAGTTTAGAGTCCTTAGGGTCATGCAGGATTGTGTCCATCAGCAATAGTACCCTTGTGGAGCATGTAAGGGGGCAAAGCCTTCAACACTAAAGCTCAAGCCCCAAACTCCTAAATCCTAAGACTCTAAACCCAGAAACCAAAACCCGTAATTCCAGAAGCCGGAAAACGCTGAGGCCTAAACCCCCCAAACCCTAAAACTATACCAACAAGGTCGACACGACGGTGGACTCTGTCGGCCACAGTTTCGCAGAGCTCGTAGCCTTCCATCATGTATGTGACATGAGTGCTTAGAGACAACGCTTTAAGCAGTCGCCCCACTGAACACACCGACACCCTAACTGAATCTGCACCAAAGCTGTGTGAGCCCTGAGCCCGAAATCATGTAGAACCCTTTCACAGAGCCCTTATCGAAATCATGTAGAACCCTTAGACAGAACCCTTATCTTATAAAACTCAAGGACCCTGAAAGGACTCTGAAACAACCCTACCTGCCCGTGTTGCGTACAGTCATATTTACAGGAGCCCAGTTGCCTACACAATCAGATACTATTCCTCAGCACCTGTATAAACCTTCTAGCACCCATAGCCCAAAGCCCACTATGTCAGTATGATTATCATTATTATTAATGATCTTATTCTGGTCATTATTATTATCCGCTTTACTATCGCTATTACTATACAGGCAAATGGGCTCTTAGGGTGTGATCTTTCAAGAGGTGCTTCGCAATCGGAGTTGATGGTTTCACTTTGCTCGCAGAAGACGCAGCAGGCTGCCGAACAGAGCGCCGGCGTAGCGGGCATAGCGGAAGAAGATCGACAAATGGCCGCAGGGATTTGGAATGTAGGGTTCCGAGCTTACCTGAGCCCCATGACACGTATGTTTTGAGGGTTGGAAGGTAGCTTATATGTTGAGTTAAGGTACACGTAGGGTTTAAGGCTTATAGACTTATAGTGCTGTTGAATCCAGTCACTCGTTCTTTTGAAGGTGTAGAAGACTGGCGTAGCGATGTTTCAGAGTTTGACGCTTGACGCAGCAGAACCACAAAGCGAGTTAGCAAACCTCGCCCCGCCCCGACAGATGCAAAGCCGTAAACCATGACCCACACTCAACTCCCATCTTCCGTCACCAAGATCAAACATGCACCCTGCTGCATCACCCCACAACTACCAAGGGTGCAAGCACCTAATGTTCATATGTACTATCCAGAATCCTAAACTACACAATATAACTGCTATCTTACAACCGAGTACCGTGGACCCTTAGGGAACCACCCCAAACCCTAAACCCCAAACCCCTAAATCCCTACAGTACCCTAAACCCTAAAACCCTAAATCCCTAAAACCCTAACCCTAAAACCCTAAAACCCTCCTAAAACCCTAAAACACTAAAACTCTAACACCCTAAAACCTAAAACCTTAAATCCCTAAAACCTTAAATCCCTAAAACCCTAAACCCTAAAACCCTAAAGCCTTAAAACCCTAAAACCATACAACCCTAAAAATCTAAAACCCGAAACCCTAAAACCCTAAAGCCCTAAAGCCCTAAATCCCTGCAACCCTAAACCCTAAAACCTTAAATCCCTAAAGCCCTAAACACTAAACCCTAAAACACTAAACCCCTAAAACCCTAAACCCTAAAACACTAAAACCCTATAGATCCCTTAAAGGAACCCTTAAAGGAGCCCTTAAAGGAGCCCTCAAAAGGAACCCTTAAAGGAGCCCTAAAGCCCTAAATCCCAGCGACCGCAGGCCTTGTATCGACAGCGCCTTAAGGACTTGCTCAGCGAGGCTTCCGGGAAGCATCCGACGGAGTTGGTACCCTTAAAAGGTCCCCCTAAAGGGTTCTATAAGGGTCTATAGGGTTCCTTAAAGGGTTCGATAAGGGTTTATAGGGTGCCTTAAAGGGTTCTATAAGGGTCTGTAGTGTTCCCGAAAGGGTTCTATAAGGGTCTATAGGGTTCCTTAAAGGGTTCTATAAGGGATCTATGGAGGTTTGGGGTCTACTAGGGTCCTGAGTAGTACCCTTTTGTTTATTTGTTTAGGCCCCCCTTCTTGAAACCAAGTACGTAGTAGGAAATAGGGTACCCTTATTATGGGGTTACTCAGGAACGTAGAACCGGACAAAGTCAGGGTTCATCTGTAATGATCGAGTCCCGTCGGAGAAAATGTGTGCAGTGTCATTCGGGCTGCAGGATTTTAATTCATTATGGGCGGGTTATAGTGTGTCGAGCTTAGTGTGATGGTCTGAGCATGAGGTGGCGCAGCCAAACGAGGGGTTTCGACCACCGTCGTCGTCGTAGTAAGTGGCAGTAGCAGTAGCAGTAGCAGTAGCAGTAGTAGTAGTAGTAGTAGTAGTAGTAGTAGTAGTCGTAGTAGTGGTAGCATGGGCGGTAGCAGTATTTGTAGCAAGTGCGGCGGTACTGGTAGCAGCAATTGGCACTATCACCGGCAGCAGCAGCAGCAGCAGCAGGAGTAATAGCAGGGGCTTACATGAATTCGTTGCTGTTCTGAAGCGTCTGTAGTATCACGGTGCTGCGAGACCCAACGAAAGCCCAAACAATAGAACAGCAAATCTCACATTCCACTACACCCGAATCCTAAACCTCTACCCCACAAAAACCATCGCAACATAAATCCCCACTATTACCTCAACCCTATAAACCCTAAACCTTCAAGCCCGAAACCCCTAACCCCAAACCCTATTATCACTAAACCGTATAAGTTAGTATAGGCCCTAAACCCCTAAGCCCTAAACGCCTAAACCTTAAAACCTATTCAACATCCCAAGGCCTCCTTTTGGGATCTTTTCAGCCCTAAGCGATAAACCCCAGTCAAGCCTCTCAGGAAGCCCCACGAAGAATCCCGCCTTAAACTCATTCCACACATCGTATTGAATCCCACAGTAGAAAAGCCCGACTGCGATTCGTGACCTTCTTACTAAAGCCCTGAAAAGAATCTTAAGCCTGTAAGACCTAGGACAATTAATCAAGGGAGCAAATCAAGAACATACAATGATACAATGATACTGATAGCAATCAGCTGTACACAAGACGGTCCCGATACTCTGTAGCATTCGGGTGAGGAATCTCTTAGATATCCGATGCTTGAATACGTCCAAACTCCAGATCGCAGCAGTCCTTTCCGTGCTGACCTGAAGTAACCAATGCCAGAGCGCCACAACTCAAATATCCGATGCCGGAATACCTACCGTCCTTTCTGATCCAGGGATGATTTAGGGTTTAGGGTTTAGGGTTTAGGGTCTAGGGTTTAGGGTTTAGGGTTTAGGGTGCACCGAAATTCCTTTGCGTCCTCTTCCTACGCAGGTCCCAGGAGCTGCATTGCTTCCTGGAGCGCTCCACGTGATCGTTCGGCGTTCCACTGTTCTACAGGCCCCGGCTCTTTTGGGTGCTATGCCTTCTTTCCGGGATTGATAGGGGGGTTTCCGAAAACTAGGGGTACCTTATTTAGGGGTCCTTATAATTAATAAGGATCCTACAAATTTAGGGTACTATATTAGGGTCCCCTATTTTCGGAAATCCCCCTCTAGCAACCCGTGGTCGCATTGATGAATATTTTCATAGTTATGTCATGATGCCTGGCGCATCCTATTTTATCATCATCGTTAGACCGTTGGTTTTCATTTGTTGCAATTGCACACTAGTATACGGCCTTATTGTTTGCTGTCTCTGATCTTGTATTTCTATATGACTATATGATTCGGCTGCTATGTTCTTGCATCATTGCACTGCCTATTTCACAAAACCCTAGAGTCCATGTGCTCAAAAATGCAGTTGCATTTGCATTAAAGTAATGATAAAGGGGCTACATGAAGGTCAAGTTAAATGCTATGTGGGTACATGGACCCTTAAAGCCCCCTCCCCCTATGCTGAAAAAGCATTGGGCTACGCTTAAAGGGAACCCTTAGGGGAACCCCTTCAAGGACATATTTCGGGTAGGGTCAATGACTGCATGACGCTTCGGCAAACCAGAAAGGCATCGTTGTAGCTGAAGTAGAACCCTAAGGGTCCATGTGCCCAAATAGTATATACATTGGCCTTAATGTAGTCCCTATATAGGTACTTTGGGGCTCATGTATCTCTATGTGGGTACGTGGACCCTTAGAGGACGTGGTGCCTATGCTCACTGGTACACATTCACCAAGTCGATCGGCACCTTCCTGCAGAGAACCCGACATTGAGGAGCCGAGCCCGACATGGACACCTACCTATAGTCTCCATTGTAGTTCCTTTGTTTGGTTTAACCAATCATATAATTAGGATCCTATAAGGTAACCCCAGAAAGGAACTACAATGGAGACTATAGGTAAGTATTGAAAAACGTCTCTCTTGGGCAGTTTTACAATCGCAGATGTCTGGCTTGCTGACGTCAGTTGGACTGGAAGCCCTCCGTAAATCTGCCGCACCATTCTCGGTGCCGCCGGAAGAAGCGAAGAGGCCGAAGCACAGAGTGTTCCGCACGTGGAAGGGTTCGGGCTGCCGTCGATGAGGAGACCATAAAGAGGGTCCTTTGCGCCACCGGGGGTGTCATTGAGCGGAGTTCTACACCAGAGCAGATCTGCAAGACGCGCGATGCACTTTGCGGTGAGATCACGACCCAGAGAGCCCAATACCCCTTAATTAAGGAATATAGCTTAAATTATTATATGAACCCCCTTATAGTGTAAGGTATATTCCTTAATTAAGGGGTATTGGGCTCTCCGGGGATTCAAGCATGGAATCCATCGACCAGCTCTTGGTTCTGGATGTTGAGATGCGCAACAAACCCGACACCGGGCCCACGAGTATCCACTAATTAGTAAAGCCTGTGGGGTCAGAGATTCCCTCATGCCTTCATTCTGGGTTTCTTGGATTTTCTGCAGCTGGCTTGCTCTAATGGATTATCGACTTCCTCAGTAAAGAGCTTACCTTAGATTGCGGTAAGCCCCAAGCCCCAAAGCTCTAAAGGGTAATGTAGCCGCTCTCTTGTGGGTCGGCAGGGCTGTGTTAGGTTTGCCTTCGGGTTTATGTCGGGTTTCACAAAGCCGAAGCTCGAAGCCCCACACTTTACGCACTCCACAGGGTACCAAAGGCCTTCTTGGTTCATGGTTATGAAACATGCGTCGATAGTTACCCTAAACCCTACAAACCCCTGGTTGCTCCAAACCCCGTAGTGAATCCAAAACCCTTATCTCTATGTTGGAGAGCCGTTCGGACAGGAGTCATTGAGCTTCCCTGGGTAGAAGATTAACACAAACCTTTGCACACACCCTATATGGATTTTATACCCACTATAAAGCACTACATATAACACTTGCTGATACTCCAAAACGAAAAGTTCTTTGTTAAAGCTCCACAAAAGCTGTACAAGCTTACACGGAGCATGCGGCCCGCAATTAGTGGCCAGGACACTTTGAGCATTTTCTGGCAATGTCCAGTAGCCGAGCTCCTAGCTCCAAATATGCGCCGCACTCAGCGTCTCCGTGGCAGGGTTGAGGTCTCTGAGTTAGGGGCCAAAAAAGCACATAATCATTTTGTAGGTATATCCCTACCTGTATTGGCTTCATTATAATGGGGTTTATATGGGATATCCATATCCATAATTTTTGCTTATGTGCTTTCTCGGGGGCCTACTGAGGTCCTGGGTCATGAAAGGGGCTTAAGAGGGCATTTAGTTGTTGACGGATGTTTTGTTTTGGGATGATGAGGGTTTGGGGGGGGCGTGTGCTCAGGGTTCAACTATGCAGGGTTTCGAGGTTCAGGGTTGGTCTTTCGATTCAAAAAAAGTCAATGCTGGAAGTGTAGGGTTCCTGATATTGTCATAGGGACCCTTAGGGGGGTAGGGGGGAGGGGGGTAGGGGGCCTTTAAACCTAGAATAAGGACATAATAAGTACTCGCTGGTAATTTCTGCGAAAGCCGTTTGGGACTTGCTCAGGAGTTCTTGGTCCTAGCTCGCAAATATATATTTGTGTTGTCATGAAGTGGTTCGAAGTGCTTTCTCAGTGTTCTCTCTAGTGGAGACCTTCAGTCACCCTAAGGCTCCATGTGCTCAACTAGCGTATGCTTTGTCCTCATAGTGCCTATGTAGGAGCTTTCAGGCCAAAGTATGTACTACTTGAGTACAAGCTTAGGGTCACTTCTTCTGCAGGTATTTCGTGGCACGGGTTGAGAACTTCAGGTGTAGAGTTGAGATCATGCCCTAAACACTGAACCTAGGATGGAGGGAATACGATAGTCTAGTAATTATTGTTTCATTTTTGTTCATATAACACGCAAGAGAATATTGGCAATATTATGCTTATCATGGTTCTAAGGAGGTATAGATTAGGGTTAAAGGCTTAATGCCCGAAGCCGACTTGGAACCTCTTGAGCAACCTGCCCTTTTATTTTAGTCCATAGACAGGTAGGTTTTGCGGGGGGTCTAAGCAAACCGCAAGCCCCTCAATCCTACCGCGACCCCAAAAGTATGTATATAGACGAATAGCCTTTTCACTGGGTGTTGGGCCCTTGCTTTGCCTACCTTCAGGGTTTATGCAAAACCCATTATTACCTAGACCCCCCAACTCCTCCTAACATTTCCGAAATACCCAGTATTAAGGGCCATAAGGGCTCTATTAAAGGGCCCTTGGGGGTCCTCTAACTTAAACCCTAGACCCCTAAACCCTTAAAGCCCCAAACCGTAAACCCCTAAACCCCTATACCCTAAACCCTAAACCTTAAACCCTGAACCCTAAACCCTTAAAGCCCCGAACCCTAAAGCCTAAATCCCTGGTCGGTGAGGGCTATGGGTTTGATGGCAGAGATGCTCTACGAGGGCCGCAAGGAGGGGCTGAGATGGTTCAGGCCACGTGTGGGCCAGATGTACCAGACCAGGCTGCAGAAGATGCACAGGGCGAAAGGAGGGTTGCACGGAACACCGGGAATGACATCAAGTATGGCTGAGAAGGGTCCGCGAGCTCAATCAAGCACATGGGTGACGTCTGAGGGTTTGGAAGTTAGTGACTGCTCCATTGGAGCTCTCCAGCTGTACCTGCAGATGGAAAAAGGTTCTCAAAAAAAAACCATAAATCCCTAAAGCCCTAAACCCCAAACCCCTAAAGCCCCGAACCCTGAACCCAAAACCCTAAACCCCAAACCCCTAAAGCCCCAAACCCCAAACCCTACATCCTATAGATCCCTTATAAACCCTTATGGAATAGTAGGTACCGGAGGGTTTCCCCTTTTGCTTCTTTAGGGTGTCAGGGCCTCCCCTACATCCATGATCCTCTAAGCACCCCCAAAACCCATATATATATATATATATATTCATATATATATATATATACATATATATATAGAGAGAGCCCTTAATGGATCGCTTTAAGGAGCCCGTCCCAGGATCCTAAAGCCTACAGCCTTACCAGAACCCATATAGGACCCTTAAGTACATCCCAAAACCCATATAGAACCCTGAAGAGTAACCTTTATAGATGCCTTAATAGGGGCCCTTTTAAAGGATCCTTTTAGTACAGCCTTACCAAAGCCGAGGTCCGTGTCCTTCGAAGGGGAAGTTGGCATCGATGCGGGCGGTCTCCTGCGGAACTGGTGGGAGTTTCGGGTGTTCTTTAGGGCTTTAATTTATAGGATTTATAGCAGTCTAGGGCTTTATAGGGTGGGGTATTTTTGAGGGCTTCATGTGAGTTATAGGAGCTTAGGGCTTTAGTTTTTAGGGCTTGATAGGCTTTATAGGAGTTTCGGGTGTTCTTTACCCTAAGGCTCTTTGGACTGATATATTAAGGCTTTTGGGCCCAAAGACTATACTACAATACTATATAAGGCGTTTGGGCCATTTTGAGCCTTAGGGTTAGGGCTTGATAGGGTTTATAGGAGTTTAGGGCTTTAGGTTTTGAGGTTTGGGCTTTAGGGCTTGATAGGGTTTAGGAGTTTAGGGCTTTAGGTTTTGAGGTTTGGGGTGCTGGCTTTAGGCTTAAGGGTTTAGGAGTTTAGGGTTTGGGCTGTAGGGATTCTTTTCCAGGTCCCCAGGTCGTCCCCATGAAAGTGTACCCTGTTTATGTCGAGGCGACTGGGTGTAAGGGCTTGGATTCTGTTTAGACATTCTGATGTGGACTTAGGGTTTAGGGCTGTTGTTTAAAGGGTGTTGGGTCATTGGCTTTGGGTTTAGGGTTCCAGGTTCTAGTTCAGGAATTGAAAAGGGCTTTTGGGCCTTTCCCCTCTAAGATACCAGCACAACTTATTCAAAGCAGGTGGGTGATTGCGCAACTGTAACGTGACGGTGTCATACAAGGGTCACTTGTTGCTCTCTGTTATTTTGCGTTTTACACGGGTTTTGACTCGGGGGATTCTTCATTCCCAAAGGGTCCAAGTACCCAAATGGTATCTGCTTTGGCCCGAAAGTACGCATAATAGGGACTACTTTAAGACCACAGTAAATATGCCATTTCGGTACATGGACCCTTTGTGATTGAGGGTTGGGGGTGATGAGCAGGGTTTACGGAGGTTTTGTGGGAGCTTTGTGGACAGCTTTCTTCACGGGTTTAGGGGTTTACGGGTTAGGGGTTAAGGGTTTCGGTGAATGTGTGTGCATGCGGGACTTGCTTTCAAATTCGGTTTGGAGTGTAAACGTTGCCAAGACAGTCGCCGAATCCCAAACTCAAAATCCTATAAACCCACCTAAACCCTAAACCCAAGACTCAGACCCCAACGTTGATGCTGGCTCCTACGCATACAATGAGTATGTCGTGACAGCTCTCAGTCAGGCATGCGCCCGCGAGGTCACGCAATCCTTCGCTACGACCATGTGCAATTTCTTCATGCTCTTTATGGCATTTCTGAAGCCGGAGGGAGACAAAGGAGCTGAGCTAATTCGCGGTTACTTGGACATGCTCAACAAAGCCTTGACGTCAGAAACACCCGGATATACCGTCCTCGTTGCTGACATCATGCGATTGCATGAGAATCTATCGTTTGTGGGCCAAACTCTGCTTCGTGGAGGGAATCATGCATTCATTCGTGCCTTGCAACTGATGTTCCAAGCAGTGAAATCTGGTCCAGAAGCTCGAGTTGGGGCTTATGCTCAATCGCCTCGCAAGTTGGCCATCACAGGCTCGTTAATGTTTGATGTAGTCGCTCTTGACGGGTTTGCCGGTCGCAATCCGGTGCTCATGTCATCGGGTCTAGCCGCGGAGGTCAGCATAGCCGCTAGACCTTGAATTTATGGACTTACTGTAAGGTTCCATATACCCAAGCAGTGTATACTTTGGGCCCAAGCGGCCCAATGCACCTTAAGGCCAAAGTATATACTATTTGGGTACATGGACTGTTACGGTTACATACCCAAAGCCTCCATGCATCTGCATAGTAGATACTTAGGCCTTAAAGGGGTCCCTATATAGGTACTTTAAGACCAAAGTATATACTATTTTGGTACATGGACCCTTGGGGTTAATTACATAACTGGGTTGTCCTTTGGGATCTTTTGTAATTTCGCCTACTATTTTGTAGAGAGCCATAAATAGTAAATAATTTTCAAAGGGCTTAAAGGACAACTCAGATAAGGAAGTCGCCCGATCCGTCCTGCATCTTCCTCAACCCTAAACCCTACACCCTAAACCCTAAACCCTAAATCCTAAACCCTAAACCCTAAACCCTAAATCCTAAACCCTAAACCCCTGGTCAGGTTTGACTCCGTGGGCCTTGCCCTCTCGGCAGGGCTCTGAGATTAGTTGAACTATTGAAAATCCACTTAATCAGCATATGGGTGGTTGTCAAAATTAGGGTGCTTCTTTGGGTCTCCATTGTAATACGGCACCTACTATTCAGGGCAACTGGTGAGAGTTGATTACTTGGAGGATCATGGGACTCAGTAACTAAGGTTATAAGTACTTAATTCAGGTCATAAGTGGTTCTATGCATAGTTACCTTTCTTAAAACCCAATACTAAGTCCCAAGATCCTCAAATACATAGGTAGAGTTCAGAGTTGCGGGGCCATCATGTAGAGCAATCTGCGAGCTCATGCCCTTGATCCCCGTTCGTTGGGCGACTTTGGGCCACTTCATAGGAAGACAAACTCCCCAAAGTCACATTTTTTGACAAAAAATCCCTCAGTATCCAGTAGTGGATGCTATGCTGGACCCTTAACTAAGCCCTGTTACTATGGTCTGGAATTTCGGGACTCCAAAATTCCTAAAGCTGCTACATAACTCTCACAGGGGTTTATGATTCAGGGTTGCAATGCATTTTGGCCACGCGATGATGCAAATACGTTGGATCGAAAGTCCGTACACCGCATGGCTCGGCTACAAATGTGATAGGACATCCGGGCAGACTGGATGTAGGGTCTTGGGATCCCAATTTCGGATCAGCATGTGTAATTATGTGCATGTGTATATATATATATATATAGAAATATATACACACACTGTAACATGTGTATATGTATGCACGTAATGTATAAAGGTGCTGTGTGAATTCTGTGTGTGTGTGCGGGTGGATGCTCGTGTGGTGCATCGATACCTACATCCGGCTTCACTAGAGTAACTTAAAGATTGAACATTGTTACATTGTTCGGCCCCAGCCAGGCCCTAAACAGTACTTAGTACGTGGTGAACCTCAAAGCCCTCATGCCTAAACCCACAAGTCCCAAAGCAGAGGCCCCAGGCCCTAAACGTACCTGAACTCCTTGTTCCTTATCAACAATATACTATATAGGAGCCCGAAACCCTATACCCTATTTCTAAGTATAAGTTATAGCCCCTATATGAGACATCTGAGCCTTCAATAAACACGAGAGATTGTCGAAGATTTCAGGCCGATGCCTCCTCACCTCTGGTGGCTGAGGACGGAAGGTTTAGGGGTTAGGGTTTAGGATAGGGGTTATAGGTAGGGTCTATAGGTTGGAAAGAGTAAGAGAGTGGAGAGTTTGGCGTTTGTAGAAATACATGTTATGACAGCCTGTTTGTTGTGGTGTTCGGCAAGCAATACCCACAAACCCTTGGAGAACTACCTGTGTGCAAGGCGGACGCCACCCTGGCTCCACGCCGAAGTTTTCCCCCAGGCGCGGGTACTCTCCGAAAAGGTTTCGGGTTTAGGGGTTTTAGGATTTAGGATCTCATGCGTTTGGGGTTTAGGGTTTTCGGGTTTAGGGGTTTGAAGCCCTACCTAAACAGGTCAAAAAGTGGCCCAATAAAAATAAAACACCACTATTCTACATACTTTTTTCCGGGGTCCAGGTAAACCCTAAACCCGAAACCGATTTTCATTTCAAGGATGTAAATAGGATGGCTTAGGATGGCTTTGGGATGGAAGGAGTCTAGGGATTTTCGGGGTTCAATCCGGGAACCAACCCGCTACTGCAACCCTTTCGGGCATTACAGGTTTGTTTGCGGCTTTTATGGTGTTTTGGAAGGATTCCGTAGGGTTTTGCACTGGTTCAAGAGGGTCTTGTTTTGGTTTCACAGGCGCTTCTGAGGTATCCGGCCCTGAGCTCTGGTACGGTTTAGGGTTTAGGGTTTAGGCTGTTTAGGATTTAGGGTTTAGGGTTTAGGCTGTTGGGTTTAGGCTGTTTAGGGTTTAGGGTTTAGGCTGTTGGGTTTAGGCGGTTTAGGGTTTAGGGTTTAGGCTGTTTAGGGTTTAGGTTTGGGGTTTAGGCTGTTTCTGGCTACCTGGTTTTATCATACCCCATGTACCCATATAGAGATACATGAGCCCCAAAGTACCTATATAGTGACTACATTAAGGCCAATGTATATACTACATGAGTACATGGACCCTTAGGGATAGGGCCCTAACCAGCAACTATGCCATCCAAGCAAAGGTCCCGCACAACGTAAGTCTTGGTACTTTGGTTTTAAAATTTTTAACTTTAGCATAGCTGCCTTAAGAACCACATGCAGGCCTGAGTATATACCGCAAGTACATATACCCCTAAACCTTTAACCCCCAACCCTAAAACCCTAGACCCTAAGATAGGATAGTAGCATCCGCACTACGGTCGTTTTCAAGACCGGGTTCAATCACAAAGTGAAAAAGATAGGTCGGATCACCAAGCCAAATCAATTCAGGCACCCACCCCCAATCCAACTCATTGAACCCGAACCCTAGACCTCACTGAACTCAAACCCTAAACCCCTAAACCCTCAACCCTGAACCTCTAAACCCTAAACTCCCAACCCTGAACCCCTAAACCCTAAACTCTCCACCTGAACCCCTGAACCGTAAACCCTAAACCCCAAACCTGCCAGGTTCCTAAACCCCTAAACCCCTACTAACCCCTAAGCCCCTAAAACCTAAACCTTAAATCCCCAAACCAAGGTTCAGGAGCACATGTGGGAGTGGAGGACGATCCCGAGAGCCCCCAGGCTGTGCCCACGAGCTTCGCGTTTAGGGTACCTGAGGGTCGTAGGGTTTAGGGTACCTTAGCGTTTGGGGTACCTTAGGGTTTAGGGTAGCTTAGGGTTTAGGGTACCTTAGGGTTTAGGGTTCAAGTCAAGGTGCCATACTGCCAGGAACCCCCAATGGCCCCTGACTGGCCCTTACGGTCCTTGATAGTGGGTATTGGGGGTCTATTGGAGGTTGGTTGGGGGGGGTTTCGTGGGAGACTAATCCCAGTTTTTTTCCAGAAGTTTAGTGCTGTGGGTTTCAGGGTCTGCATCTAAGGTTTAAGGTATGTAAAGGGCTGAGGCGTTCAGGGCTTTGGGTGTACAGTTGGTAGTTGCAGGCTAGGTTGTTTGGGGGGAACCGCCCATCGACCCGTGTGCGCGCTTTTGAGCTTCTGTGTTGAACGGGCTTTACAGCATTTATCCGAACCTTTAGCAGTATCCCAAGACCCAGAGAGCCCAATACCATTTAATTAAGGAATATAGCTTAAATCTTAATATGAACCCCCTTATAGTGTAAGGTATATTCCTTAATTAAGGGGTATTGGGCTCTCTGGGGACCTATGCCCTGAACCCTGGATCTCCAACCTCTACCCAAAGGGTCCAAAGTACCAATATAGGGTTCCTTTAAGGGTTTAGGGTTTAGGGTTCCTTTAAGGGTTAAGGGTTTAGGATTCCGTTAAAGGGTCCAAAGTACCAATATAGTAGAATGTAGGGCCAAGGCACTCAACCCAACAAAGACCCTAAGCCCAAAGGCTCCAAAGTACCTGTATAATTAGTATTAGAATGTAGGGCTTCTATATATTAGGAATTACTATTATGATTTTGGGAAGTAGTCCCCATATCAGTACCTAGGAGCCTTTGGGCTAATTAAAGACCCATTCCAAATCCGAGTGGCATGTTTTGCACTCGCACAAGAGATCAGCCTCAGTAAAGCTCAGCAATATAAGATCGAACGTTTGGTTTTTGCTCGTGGACGAAATATATTATCCCATGTTTGCGACCGGACCTGCGCAGATGCTGCAGAGCTTTTTGGCTCTGGGCCGCTTCTTGGCCACGGCGGTGTTGAGGCGAAGTCGAGTCTGTGGTGTGAGCTTGGGGTTTCGGTTGAAGTTTGGGGGTACACTATTGTAGTTATTGTACATTCCACTTTACGGCAAGGGGATATAGGTCGAACTCAGGATTTTTAGGGGTTTAGGATTTTGAGTTTCAGGTTTGTGCTTGGTGATTGAGTGTGTAGGTTGTTTAAGGTTGATGGTTGGGCTCCAGTGTTTCGGGTTTAAGATGGAGGTTTTGGTTTGGTGATTGGGTTAAGGGTCGTAAGCTCTTCTGTGTATCTTCCTAAACCCCAAACCCTAAACCCTAAACCCTAAACTCTGTTTTGTTGTTTTGTGTTTGTGCGTGTCTGTGCTCTGAGCGAAGTTGTTGTTTGATTACACAGCTTACCTTTGGTTAGTAGGGAATGGAAGAATGGTAGTAGTAGCAGGTATAATTTAATTGTACGCCTTTCCTCCATTCCCTACTAGGGTAGTTGTCAAATTTTGGCCCCTTTTTGGGTAGCCTAATTAGGAGGGGTCGTATTATAATAGGAACCCCAAAACGGACCATGATTTTGACAACCAAACACTAGCCAAAGGTAAGACAGTGCTGCCCTTGTTCTCACTGGCTAGCAACAGTAGCAGCCGAAGAGCTTCCGCGTAGTATAGGGGTCTTAGTACTTAGACGAGGGTTCCTTTAAAGGGGGTTTATAATGACTACTATAAGGGTTAGTTTAAGGGTACTATAGTATAAGGGCTTAAATAATTAACTATAATACTGTTAGGGTTCCTTACTGTAATTATAGTATTATGGGCCCCAGAACGCTTGTCTATTTATTAAGGCCACTATAATTTGTTATGAACTTGGAACGGGTTTATTGGCTTCAGGCTTTGCCAGGCGGGCTCTAGTCGGCTTTGTCGCCGATGATTGGAGCCCCAAATCCCAAGCCCTAAGCCCGCGACTAACACAAGACCCCCGAAAGACGAAGATCAAACAGGGTTTAGGGGTTTCAGGTGCAGGGTTTTAGGGTTTAGGGTTTAGGGGTTGAGGATGTAGGGTTTTGGGGTTTAGGGTGTAGGGACATGTATCCGAAAGCACATGGAGCAGCAATTCCAGTCCCTTTGGCTGAGACCTAGTCTAAGGCCATTCGTTGGATAACCCTAATCGCATCCCAAGCTGTCATCTGATCCCGACTTCTAGGATTCCCCAGCCCAACCATCTTAAAGGCCCCAAGCGGCTTTCAAAGACGTCCTGCTATGCCCTACACTCCAAAAAATTCCGAAACACTATCATACCTCAAGCCCTAAGCCTCTCAATCTTCAGACCTGAAAGCCAAAGCCTAGCACTTGAGCCCGACGTTTCCGAGCTTCAAGCCCTAAATCCCATGTTTTAGGAGCCTTAGTCTTAGTACGTTTTGGAATTATAGCATAAAGCCCCGAAGCCCTATTGAAACTATTACCCCCTCTATATTCAGCCCTGCACAAGGGGCAAGCCACTTCCTCTGCAACTGAGCCAGAAGCTCAGTGCCTTAAATGTTTAGGAATTCCTTTCAAAGGCTTCCTTAAGGGTTCCTTTAAGCGGTTCGTGCAAGGCTTCCTTTAAGGGTTCCTTGAATGCTTCCGTTCAAGGGTTCCGTTAAGGCTTCCTGTAACAGATTCCTTAAGGGGATCTATCGGGATTTGTAAGGTTTGGGATTCAAGGTTTAGGAGTGTGGTTCAAGCTTGTGGGCTTCCGTGGGATATCATCTGTGTTTTGTTGGGCTTCATAGTTTCCCTAAACTCCTAGATCCTATTTTTATCTACAAGCCACTTTGCGGTCGAGGGTTTAGGGCTTATGTGGTTGAGATATAACACTTGCGGTAGTACGAATATGAATACAAGTATCGTTGTCGTCATCGTTGTCGTTGTCGATGTTGTTGTTGTTGTTGCGATGTTTGTCGTTGATTCTTCTCCCTCTTGCTTTTTGAATAGTCAATACACTAAAGACGAGAAGTGTTAGGGTTGAGGGTTTGGGATTTCGGCTCCAGGAATGAGGCTGTGGCTTCCTTGTGGTTTAGGGCTTTGGGATGTTGTAAGGTTTAGGGCATGTAGGTTTTTTGGTAACATCGAGGGTTTAGATTAGAGTTTCAGCAAGGCTTACAATTTGCTTAGGTTTAGGGGAGGGTCTAGGTTGTGCGATCTGCGTGATGGTGTGGATTCCTTTCTTAGAGGTCCTTCAAAAAGCGGATCTGTTACAACGGAGGGGTTCCGGGACTTTATCGATCTTTTTACTTGTTCCCAGAACCCGAGGCTCCGTGTGCTGCAAGCTGCTGTTACGGTGGCCCAGTCGCATTGGGGTTTCGGGGTTTGGGGTTCGGGAGTTTGGGTTTAGGGTTTAGGTTTTCAGATCTTCGGGGTTTGTGGTTCGGGAGTTTGAGTTTAGGGTTTAGGATTTGAGATCCGGTTTGTTACAGAGGGGATTCCTGGACCTTAGAAACGGCCTTTGAGGCATCACGCAAGCGTGAGCATGGATCAACACTAATAGAGGTACTTTTTTTAGGTAACACCGAAAGTTTATCGAATGTATGTGTGATGATCGATGTAAGAATGTATGATCGGATAAACGAATGTATGTTTGTCTGTACATGTTTATATGCATGCATGCAACATCGACTTCTGGAGTGTACCGACTTAAATCGGTCACCATGGGCCAAGGAGCAGGGTCTCCGCAAAAGATTGCAAACTGCCCACTGTGGCCCCAACCAACATGATCACAACCCTCAGGCTCATGGACCCTGTACTGAAATCCCAAACCCTAGCCCCCAAAGCCGAAACCCTCCCCCAGAATGCCCAAGACCCTCTTAGGAGCATTAGCGAACAGACCACAGGAGAGAAACAGACTACAAAAGCCCAGAGCCCTCAGACTTCAAACCCTGACCTATAAGCCGCATATGCCCTAAACGCTGAATTCTACACTCCAAGCCCATGCCCTGAGCCCTATCAGCCGTATACCCAATTGAAGCGAACAGCGCAAGGGCGCTTAAAGAGAACCCTTCAAGGACCCCTTCAAATAACCCTTAAAGGACCCCTTAGAGGAACCTTGATAGGACCCCTGTAGCTTCCCAATGAAAGCCGAGCCCGAAGCCCTTAGCCCCCTAAACCCTGAATCCTAAAACCTCCTATAAGCCGCATACCCAATTGAAGCCAAGCCAGCGGCCATGGACCTCGTCAAAGACCCCTTAAAGGATTCCGTCATGGACACCTTAAAGGACTCCCTTAAGGGAGCCCTTTGACCCCCTAAACCCTTAAACCTAGTAGAAGAGTAGGTAACCTTGAACCTTTTGCGGGTAGTATAGTCCCTATATGATCCCTATATAACCACAAAGGTTAACCTTTAGTTCCCCATGATACCCGACAACCCAAAGACTCCAATATCCCTTAATAAGGGAGTTTTCCTTAACTCATATTCGGGATCCTACGATAAGTTAAGGTATATTCCTTAATTAAGGGACATTGGAGTCTGAGCCCCTAACTCTGGCAGATCTCTGGGTTAAGCTTTAGGGTCTAGGGGACCTTACGGTTTAGGGTTTTAGGGCTTTGGGGTTTAGGGTTTAGGGTTTAGGGTTTAGGGTTTAGGGTTGTAGGGCTTTGGGGTTTAGGGTTCAATTCGAGCCCAGTGAAAGCCAAGCCTTCGGCCCAGGGAGCCCTTAACTCTGGCAGATCTCTGGCTGGTGGATCCGGACTTCTACCGCTACCGCGCCCCTGGTCTGCCTGAAGGGTTTAGGGTAATTGAGGGGCTTTGGTGCTTTAGGATTTATATAAGGGTTTGAAGAGTTTGGGGGTTTTGGGGTTGTAGGATTTCAGGGTTTTGGGACTAGGAAGTTTAGAGCCTAATTTAGGGTTTAGTCTGCCTTCAGGGTGAACCCCAGAAACTTGGAACATGGATTCAGGATGATTAGTGGTAGCATTGCCCCGATGCTTTACTTATGGGCCGTTAGATAGAACCAAGGTAACACAAGAAAGGCATTGCATGTTAGGGTCGAAGTATATCCAGCTTAGCATCTTTAACACCATAGACCTCCTTTAACATAGGTCTTCCAGTGGGCCCGTGATTTTTGTTGTTAGGTGGTCCTCGATTTTTTACGGAACTATCCATGGCCGGCTTATATCTTCCTACGGTTTAATATGTGTATATATATATATATATATGTATATGTATATGTATATATGTATATGTATATCCTGCATTACCTTAATGACCCCAGACTATGGGAATTGTGGTGTTTTCCTTTTGCTGGGTAATGCAAGATTTATATATCATCAACAACCCTAAAATCCTAAACCACCGTAGACTGCTGGGGATCCGAGTAAACAGAACTCCGGAAGGTTCTGATGCATAGACCGAGGCCTTTCGGGAACGCAGCTTTCCCTAGAAGCCCCGGTTTTAGGGTTCGGGGTTTTGGGGTTTAGGGTTTAGGGATTAAGGTTTAGGGGTTTAGGGTTTTAGGGTTTTTGTTCAGGGTTTAGGGTCCAGTGAAATGTGGGGCTGTGGTAGCTTGCTGCTTCTGGGCTACAGGATAGTAGTTTCGGATCATGGCCGCCTACTCTTGCCTACCACCGATATCTTATAGGCTAATAGTTCAGGGTTATGGCTGCTTCTGTGGTAGGGGTAGTACCAGACAGGGTAAGCCCAGAAAAGTATACGATTGTGGTGAACCATCACACTTGGAGGAGGCCTCTGATCAGAGAGTGAAACCCTCAGAGAAGTGCACTTGGAGGCCCCTGGGCACTACTTCATTGCTATCCTCCCCACGATACCACCAGATCATCGAGTTCAAAGCTAGAGTTCCGGGACAACAACTTGACAAAAGGGGCCTCAAAAATTACCAATACTATTTTGGTTGGGTTCCTTATTATCGTCATAGTATGGTATACCCCAAAACCTTATTCTAATCATTCAGGCCCCTATAGTAAGCCTCCAGCGGTCGTGAAGTGTCCCTCCGGCCAAAGAGTCCCGTTGAAGAAGCGGACCAAGAAGGTGAAATAGGGCAGTCGCGGAAAGGGCAAAAAGGCCAGAGGCGAATACAGGGGCCGAAATAATTACCTATACTAGCCTGGGGGATCCTTCTTAAAGATTATAGTGCAATGGGCCCCAAAAGCATATTCTAATTATTAAAGTATCCGGCCGGTCAAAGGTCTGAGGACATGTTCGAGGCCCACAGGGAACGCATCCCAGGCTGATGTCGTCAGCTGGAAGTGGTTGAAACTGCCGCGCTCGCCCTCAGCCCCCTCACAATGCCCACATTTCACGTGGACCGGGGACATCACCGAACACCCGGAAAGTTAAACCCCTCGGTTAAGGCCGGGCACTGGGCAAAGTAAAGGGTGCAAGCCCTACTTCACCGACAAGCCGAAAGCCGTAAGACCAGGGGCTCTGAACTCGGGCCCGAAAAGGCCTTGGGGTTACGTTAAATTTTGGGTTTAGGGTTTAAGGTTTAGGGTTTAGGGGTTTAGGGTTTAGGGGTTTAGGGTTTAGGGGTTTAGGGTTTAGGAATAGTAGGATGCTTATTGCAAGGAGCCCTAAAGCAAGACAACCGGATTCCCTAAAAGCCCCTGAGGGTTGGTTTAAGGTTTAGGGTATCGTCGTGTAGCTCTTACCTCAACCTACCAAAACCTACTTTTTGTAGGTTCTTATCATAAACCCTACTATGGATTTTATAGGGACCCTACAAAAAAGTAGGTTTTGGTGGGTTAGGGTAGGGTACAACTAAATAAACTAGGGTTTGGTTTGTATGGTGTATGTAGGGTTTAGGGTCTACGGTTCAGGATTGTGGCCGTGTTTCAACCCCTTGCCCGCTGCCCAGATCCGGCCACTTCTGCACAAGGAGCACCGGTTCTTGCTTGGGGCACAGGGTTTTGGCGCTTCGCATATAGAAACCAAAACTAAGCTAAATCTGTTCAGCCCACCACAGCACCGCATACGTTTTTCTGCCCCCCCCAGAACGAATCGGCATAGATTCTTTGTGCGGTACCTCTAATCTCTTTTAGCAGGCTACTGTGCTTTAAGCCTTTAACTACTAACAGCCCAGTCACTTACTGTGATGGTAACTGGCCTCGAGGGCTTCAATCCTGACGCCTGCGCTTCAAAACCCCTTTTCTGATTGTTGAGGCCCCGCCGCCTATTCTAGGCTCCTCTTTTTTGCACTTGTAATCTCGGGCTCCCTTATTCAAACTGAATACCGGGAAAGCTGGTGCCCTTTTCATTTTAGGGGACACTAAACAACCTAGAGCATCCGATGGTACCCAGAAGAGCAACTTCACAGAATGCCTGATTACTGTCTCCTGTGGGCTTGGGCACTTGTACCCTATAAACCCTAAACCCCAAACCGCTAAGCCCTAAGTCCCTAAGTCGCTAAACCCTAAGCCCTAAGCCCCGAAACCCCAAAAGCCCTGAAACCCTAAGCCCCAAAATCACACGGACTTCCTATTGCAGCTGCCGCAAAGCCACTGTTTTGCGGCCTTGTCCGTCGCCATCTGTCAGGTCGAAGAGACTACAGGGGCCAGAAGGTTCTTAGGGTTTAGGGTCTGGGGTTTATAGGGTTCAGGGTTTCAGATTTAGTGTCTAAGGCCGTTTTAAGTGCCCTTTGTGGCTACTCAGCTCCTCGCCCTTTGCAGGACGATCTTCCAAATACATCCCCAAATTTCCTAGACCCTAAGATCCCCTAAAAGGCCTTTTTTAAAGCAATCTTGAACCTTAAAGACCCTAAAGGCCTTTTTGAAGCAATCTTGAACCTTAAAGACCGTAAAGGCCTTTTTAAAGCAATCGTGAACCTTAAAGACCCTAAGATCTCCACAAAGGCCCCTTTACAGGAACCTTCAGATCCCCTTTACCCTAGGCTCCTATATTAAGACCATACCATATAAGGCTTTTGGGCTATTTTGATCCCCAGGGTTAAAAGCCTGTTTACAGGAACCCTAAGTACTAACCTCTCTAGGATGGACTGGCGCGGTTGGAGAAAGCGCTGGGGGAGCCCTACTCTTGGAGCTCAGGGTTGTTGTTCAGGGCCTTACCGGATCCGTTGATCCGTTCAGGGATCTTTTCGGCGCTTCTTTGAGGGTTCCGCTAAGACTCTAAGGGATCTATCCTTTTTTTTTAGGCTTTAGGGTTCAAGGTTGAGGGCCTGGGGTTATATCAGGAGCCCTTCAGGGGCCCCCCATCCGGGAGCCCCCCTATCTCAATGTGCTTTCGGGATATGAATCTAAAACACTCCAAAGCATTTAAAACAAACACTCGGGGACACCTATAAACACTGTAAAACACTCTGACCTCTGCGAAACACTTGAAAACTCTGAGACATTCGAAAGAATTCGAGAGGGAGGCCGGATTCATGCCTTTCTCACACTATTGCATGCCAAATCTGATAGTGAAGCCGACCTCCTTCATCTCGGCTCCCAGCGTCGGTCACGACGACTGAGTTCAAGGAGCGGCGAACGCTCCTGTGCCTGGACGAGGATACTGGGAGGCCGATGGCGCCCCTGGCGAAGATGGATGCGAATGCTGATACCATGCGTCAGGGATGTGGGCGGCTGGACCTGTGGGAGCTAATCTACACCACTAAAACTGCCATCTTGATTCAAGTATCGTTGGTGGCTCTCCTGCTGATCAAGACTGATGGACGCAGCGGCACAGGCGACCCAGCCCACAAAAGCCAAGCTAAGTCTTCGCAACGACCTAGGACCTTCTCCAGCCGCTTACGTCCCGCACGCATGGCAGCAGTGTCATCCACGTCAGCCAGCCGCGCCATCAGCCGCCCAGCATGCCATGCGGCTTGTATCCCGGGCCTTGCCGGGGTGCAAACGTCCAGGCCAAGCCGCCCCTCGAACGCAATCGTCATGACCGACGCTAGGAGCCGAGATGAATGACGTCGGCGTCTGCACCATCAGATTTGGCATGCGAAAGTGTGGAAGAAGACAAGAATCCGATCCGACAGCCATATCTTTAATTCTTCCGAGAGACTTAGAGTGTTATAGAGTGTTATAAAGTGTTTTAAAGTGTTATAGAGTGCTATAGAGTGTTATAAAGTGTTATAGAGTGTTATAGAGTGGTATAGAGTGATTTAGAGACATCGTCGAAATACCCATTGAGTTTGGGGGTCCCCTGGATCAGGGGCCCCTTAGGGGTTCCTGATTATAGGGTCTTTGGCTTTGTTGGCATCCTCTCGGAGCACAGCATTCTTGGCTTGATTGGGTGTTGGTTTCAAGGTTCTGGGTTGAGAGTTTAGGCAAGTTTAGGGCTAGGGCTTTAGGAGGCTGTGGTTCCTCTCTTGGAGGTGTTGTTAAGTTAACTCTCTTAGGCTTCAGGGCGTTGCAAATTAGGGTCGATTTTTCCCAACAGTTTGGGTACGGTGGTTTAAGTGGGTGTGCCCAGGGTGATTGTTCCGTTGTCTTCTGTTGGCTATCTCTTGAGAGACCTTTATTTGCATTGGGTCATAACGGTGTTGGTGTAGACGCTTGTAACCAGGATAATTTTCCCTAAGGCTCCATGTATCCATATCGTATATATTTAGGCCTTCAAGTAGTCCTTATGTAGGTACGTCAGGGCCAAAGTATACACTATATGCGTACACGGACCCTTATAACCTAAACTCTAAACCTATTCTATATAGAACCCTTAATACCCTAAACCCCTAAATCCTAAACCCTAAACCCTAAACCGTGGCCCTTAAAGGAACCCTTTGGGACAGGTCTTGGAGCTTGGGAAACTTCCAGACCGACTGCAAACCCTGCCTGCAGGGTTTAGGTATTGACGGCTTTGGATACCCCTAACGGCTGATGATACGAATCCTAGGGTTCCCTTTAAAGGGATCTATAAGGGTACCTTTAAGGGGCTCCTTTAATGGATCTATAGGGTTTTAGGGTTTAGGGATATAAATCCTGCATAAGGAATACGCCATAATTCCTACAGTCCGGGGTCATTAAGGTAATTTATACCATCAACCGAAGCACCCACGACATCATGCCCACAGCAATGCCCATAAAGCCATTAAAGTTGCAATGTCTGACTATGGTGGGGAAAGAACAGCTACAGTTTTGTTTATGAGCAATGTGGGATTTGGGGTTTGGGATACCGGACTGATGGAAGTTTTCGGGGTTTGAGATTTTCGTGCTCTCGGGCTTTAGAGCTTAGTGCCTAGGATGGTGTAGTTGCTTTTCGGTGGAGAGCATTGCTCCTTTTCGTTTCTGGAGGATCGTTTGGGTTACAAAGCCCGTTGCCAGAACCTCTGGACGGTTGGATGGACGCCTCACGCCTGAGGCAGGTCCCTATATTGGGTCGTACCACAGTAGGGTTAGTGCGGTCATGTACTTCGGGTTGTTTTCAAAGTGGGTCGGTCTGGACAAGTCGTTCAGGATTCAATCCAAGGGTAAAAGGAGGGACCCTTAATAAGGACCCCTAGGTATATACCCTTAGTATAGCTATGATATACCCATTATATAGCCCATTGTTTGGTAGGGGTCCCCATTAAGGGTCCCTCCTCTTCCCCTTTGATTTAAGGCTTCAGGTTGAGCTTACGTCTGAATACTCCCTATACACGAGAGGGGGGCGGGTATCTGTCCACTCCGGCTGCGATTTCCCTGAAGAGTATCACATCATCAAAAGCACTGTAACCCTGGGGCTCCAAATAGCCCAAAGTAGGTACTAGTTATAGACTTTATACCCCAAAGTAGGTGCTGTTTGTTTTCTTGGAGCCCTGGGGTAGGTCGACAGCCCCAAAGCAAACCGAGAATCCCTTAACTCTCAACCCAGAATTCCCAGAATCCTATTCCAAGGTCGTTGCAATTCCCCTCCGCCGTTGCGCCGGACCGCTACGGACAGGCTGGAGAGTCCAGAAGTTCAGATTCGTGGTTGCTAGTAGTAGAGTAGGTAGCCTTTAACCTGTTTGGGGTACTATAATCCCTATATACTCCCAAAGGTTAGCCTGTAGTTCTTCAGGATACTGGACAAGTAGGATGATGCATGGATTGTACCCCAGTACTGCCAGTACGAGTACAGGTAACAGTAGGAGTATCATCATCATCAGCAGCAGCAGCACCAGCACCAGCACCAGCTACTGCGGCTGTTGTTGCTCGTGTTCTTCTCGGTGGTTTTGTTGATGATAATAATGTTGTTATTGTTGTTGCCGCGCTTAGCCGTGGCCGCCGGTTTCGCAGTCGTGAAGGTGGTCCGTCGTGGTTGTAGTGGCATGGACAGTTGTCGTCGTCGCCCTGGTGGCCGTGACAGCAGCAGCAATGGCACGAGCATCGCGGCCAGTTTGCCGATCATAGATCATAGACGCACACGTAGCAACAGCAAGATCAGAATAGCAGGCCGATCTATAGCAGTCTATAATGCATGAACTCTACATTCTCGGCAACAACCTCAAAGCCCGAGATTCCCATCATAGTAAATTGCATTATATATGTTATATGCTATTGAACTGGATTAATTATATCAAATTCCCCTTTTCGACAGAGAAGCGCAGGCCATGGCCGCACGAGTGACGAAGGACAACGGTGTATCCGACCAGTTTGGTTTGTGATGCCCTTTGCCCTTCATGGGTGCTGACCTCCCTAGAACTACCAGGCACAATCAGGAGAGACACTGGCGCGACAATGTTGACTGCCCGGTATGCTCACTTGTTATGTGTATTTGGTTGCCCATGTTGCGAGCTCTGTGTCCTCACACGCATTGACAGTCAGGCACACACTCAGAGTTTCCCAGCAATGCCTGGATGTATCATACATGGTTGCCTACACAGCGTCGGGACGCAGAGTTTCTCTCGCTCTTTGTTTCCGGATTCCGGCTAGCAAACCTTGTTGAAGGCCGTGCAGATCTTCTAGGCCTTAGTTTGAGTCACGGGCTCGCAGATACCAACCGTCAGGTAACTTTTGGACTGTGAATGCGCTCATGTACACATACATACATGCATACATGCTTACATGCTTACATACGTACAGACACACACACACACACACATATATATGTAGATGGGCAAAATATGTATGCAGAGAGAAGCGTGCGTGTGTGTATACATGCAGGTGTATGTATGTACTGTTCTATCTATCTGCCTTTCTATGTTGGTAAGCATGTATGCCCATACATACATGCATACATACATACATACATACATGTACAATTACACACATACAAGTAAGTAAGTACACTAAGTACGTAAGTAGTTAGGTAAGTAAGCAAGTAAGTATGTAAATATGTATGTGTCTCCCAGTATGTTGCTTGTGTGCATGCATGCATTGACAACGAGATCCATACACACACACACACATGTTTGCATTGCATATGCATGCATGCTAAAGGTCTGCGAGATAAAACCTAGAGCAACCCACAGCTCTCACCCGAAAACTCGAAGAGAAACCGTAGGCCTCCAGCCTGTCAAACCTGTACGCTATTCCCTGCATCACCACCTTCACTTTGAAGTTCCCGGCCAGTTGGCGCTTACTTGGCGTATCTCAGCTCTGAGCATTTCGGGCTGCACCGCAGTTTCGCAGAGAGGTTCAGAGTTCAATCATGGTTTCGGGTTTAGGGTTTCCCTTAACTCGGAATAACCTACCTTTTGAAGGACTTATATACAGAAATCATAATAAGGAACCCAAAAAAAGCAAATTATTCAGGGCTCCCTAAACCCTAAACCCTAAAACAGTAAATTACTCAGGGTTCCCGAAACCCTAACCATTTTGGGTTCTAGAGTCCGGCTGGGGGTTCGACTGAAGCCTTGCTTCTGCCGAGCTTGCGGTTCAGGCGGTTGAGGAGTTTGAGGAGTTTGAGGTTTAGGGCTTTTAGGGTTCAGGGTCTAGGGTTTAGGGGTTTAGGGTTTAGGGTTTAGGGGTTTAGGGTTTAGTGGTTTAAGATTTAGGGTTTAGTTTAGGGTTTAGGTTTCTGGATTGAAAGTTGACGGAGGCATGATGATTTGCACTAGCCGGGCTGGCAATAGATGCAAGTGTCGCATGGTTCTGAGAGGTTGTGAGTAGGAGTAGCCCAACAAGCGTAACTGCCATGAGACCTTAAAGCCTTAAGCACCCAAAAGGCCCCCAACCCTGAAGCTCCATGTACATATGTATATAGGTTCACTGTATGGACCCAGACCTTAACGTACCTTTCTAGGAACCCTTGTAAGGCCTAAATATGTAATGTAGAGGTACATGGAGCCTTAGGGAAACAGATGCTAAACAGTTTGGGAGCGACAAAGCGCCTGCCTGCTCATGGCATCTCGGCCCTCGTCTTGCTTGAAGCGGTTCGAGGAGAACTTGCGGGATCACGGGACTTAGTAACTACAGGGTTATAAGTGTAAGATCACTCTGCTAATAACTCTGTATCCTTACTTGTAACCCCAGTTATACAGTACTTATAACCTTACGTACCAGGCCTCCAAGGCCAGACCACCACCTCCGGTGCTCCCGTAACCGGAGGTTTCAGTCACGGGTTGGATCAAAGGGGAAAAGGAGGGACCCTTCATGGGGACCCCTACCCTATAATGGGCTATATAATGGGTTTATAATAGCTATATCGAGGATATATACCTAGGGGTCCTTATTCAGGGTCCCTCCTACTACCCTTGGGTTGGAGCAAGGGCCGGGCGATAGAGCAGCCGGGAACCTGGAGACGGTCGAGCTCCGCAAGATTTGCTGGCGCGGAACCTCAAGGACGAAAGGATCCTCAGCGGAAGGTGTCCTATAGTCCAAGGGTAAAAGGAGGGACCCTTAATATGGGATCTATAGGGATTCTATAAGGGTATAGGGTTTAGGGGTTTGGGGGTTTAGGGGGTTTAGGGGAAAAGGAGGGACCCTTAATAAGGACTCCTAGGTATATACCCTTAATATAGCTAGTATATACCCATTGTATAGCCCATTATAGGGTAGGGGTCCTCATTAAGGGTCCCTCCTTGTCCCCTTTGATATAGATTACCCATATACTCTGAATCCCTATATGTGATTTTAACTTTAACCTAAACCCTTTCACTTTTCAGTTCGTCTTTAAAGAAGAGGTGCTTCTGCCCCCTACGACCCTGCCCGCAGAAATGCTGGAGATGCACACAGCGTTACCGGACTTCTCAGATCCCAGGTAGCATCCCCGGAGTCCCCTCAAAGGCGACCCTTCTTAAACCCTACTCCTGGCTGTCCTAAAGGGGAGCTTGTTGAGAGGCCCCCGAATCCCAACTCCTACCCTTGTAGCAACCCTCATGGAAGGGCTCTGAATGGGTTCTTAATAACGGTTCAGTCTAAGTTAGCATAATATTAAACAGCGTTACTTACTATGTATCCCTACCTTAGCAAGAACGGTTTCGTCGCGATATCCTACAGCGTACGTCTTTGCATGCTTCCCCAACCTCTGCATAAACCTCTTGTTTTCTTCCTGGGTTGAACCCGGTGCATGCTGGAGGCGCTTATAGACCCAATATAGTAGGGGCCTTAATAATCACCTACAATTACTTTTTGTTTGGGGGGTGGTCCTTCTCATAATTGTACCACAATATGGCCCCAAATCCTGTTCTCTGTTATTTAGGCTCTTATATCATAAAGGGAACTCCAGGAAGCTGGAATATGGATTAATAGTAGGCTCCCCTATAATTTACCATAAAGGGTTGAGGATAATGATATTCTAACTTTCTGGCTTTTACTGTATTATGTAACATGTATACACCCCAAAAGGACCTGAAGCTGAAGCCGCTTGGGATGGCCGTGTTTTGTCTAAGGCGACTGGTTGGAACTTCCAAGCGCGCTTATGCTGTCCTACTTCAGGCCATGTGGGAGTTTCCGAAAATAGGGGTACCGTAATTTCGGAAACTGCCATGTGTCAACTTTGGGGTTATTTTCTTGAGAGTTTGGGGTTGGCAGGGTCATGGACCATAGAATGTCGAGGACATTGGGTGTGAGGCTAGGGGTTCAGGGCTTTGGGCTAAGCGCTTTGGGTTGATTGGGATTATTAGGGAGCCGAGGGAGCCCTCGAAATCTATTCTAGAGAGACTGTAAGACCAGGTTCAGGGCACTTCTGGGAAAATCGCCGGCTTGTCAATTAAATTCTTGTGTTTTCCTGAAGCCGAAACCCCTAAACTCCAAACTCTGAGCCCTAAAAGGTAAAACCCTAAACCCCATACCCCCTAAAACTAAACCAACAGAAGCTCGCTGCGCAGGGCTTCTGGGACGTGCTGCCCCTCCAGCTGCTCCAGCCGGCTCCTTACCATTAGGGTCCAAGTACTTTAGTTATGATATACCCTCCAAATTAAGTAGAAACTATCCCATGCAAATCCCTTGTACCTTCTTTTTGGGTCCTATGGACCCTTTGGGTTATAGCCGGGATGGCGGTTTGTTGGGCCCATACCAACCTCCAGACAGTCGCATGATCTCTGTTTGACTCTTCCTTTTATTATCTTTAGGTTAAGCTAATTCAAGGATATGACCCTGGACCCCCAACCGCTTCAACCCCAAACCCTAAAGATTACCTAAGTCCTTGACTGTCGTAATTTCTCTGGCCACGTCGCACTCCGCTGTGTAGAGAGAGTACCAGGTTCGCGGCTTGGGTGTGTGGGTTTAGGGCTTGGGGCTTTAGGGGTTTATGATTCGGGGGTTTAGAAGTTTGGGGTTTAGGGGTTCGGCTGTTTACTTCAGTTTCGGGCCTGTGGCTTCCATTGCTTCAGGCAGTCAAGTGTCCTCTATACTGCACTTAAAGTTTAGGGCTTAGGTTCAGAGGGCTTAATTGTAGACCGCAACCTCGTGGGGCCTTGACCAGCGTTCTCCGCCATCAGCCGCAGGTTGGAAACGTGTCGGTTGGTTCTTGCATGTGTAAACCTTTAGCTCCGCCTCTTACTACTACTACTACTACTACTACTACTACTACTACTACCACCACTACTACTTCTGCTACTACTACTACCACCACCACCACCACCACCACCACCACCACCACTACTACTACTACTACTACTACTACTACTACTACTACTACTAATACTGCTACTACTACTACTGCTGCTGCTGCTACTACTACTACTACTACTACTACTACTACTACTGCTACTGCTACTGCTACTGCTACTGCTACTGCCACTGCTACTGCCACTGCCACTGCCACTGCTACTGGTACTGCCACTGCTACTGCTACTGCTGCTACTGCTGCTACTACTACTACTACTACTACTACTACTACTACTACTACTGCGACTGCTACCGCCGTCACCACCACTGTTATTCCAGAACGATGACGAAGGCAGCAACGAAGACACTATTATTCATTCCAACCGCCGCAGCCTGGACGCCCGTTCAGGACTATGCTTGTGCCTTCACTACACCGCCAGGCCTATAAAAACGGATTTGCTGATGTGCCTCTCACAAAAAGGCTCACAAGAAGTGATGCGAAGATCGCAGGTACCTGGAAGCCTGAACCATAAACTGTAAACCTAGCTACATTGAGCCCTAAGCCCGAGCTCCGCAAACCAAGACAACACCCTTGACCCCCAAATGCCCAAACCCTAAACCCTAACACCCCTAAACCCTAAACCCCTGAAGCCCTGAACCCTTAACCCCTAAACCCTAGGTCCCAAGGCGTTCGGCCGGAGGACGACTGCAAGTTCTCGCCTTCGAGGGCTTTCGTTTGCATGCGAGAGCATGGGACTTTGTAAGTAACCCTAAGGGTGCATGTGCCCAAACAGGGTTCCTTTAGGGGTTCTATACGGGCATCATATGGGTTTAGAGTTTGGGTTGTAAGGGTAAGGGTCCATGTACCCAAGTAGTATATACTTTGGCCCCAAAGTTCCTGTATAGGGATCACTTTAAAGGCCAAAGTATATCATACTATTTGGGTAATTACATGGACAAGGTATGGTTATAAGTATTTTGATTTGGGGAGGGGGGTAAGAGGAATGATAAGTATAGTTGCTTTATGTATATCCCTGGCTACTGAGTCGCTACGTCCCACCCAATAGTAGAGCTTTTTGGGCGCAGGAGCCATAAAACACATGCGTCCTTGGAGTTGTAGGGTATATGAACCCTCCCAAGCTACACCTGGAACCCTAAACCAGAAGTCCTGGTTCAGGCTTCTCTCCCCAGAGCCTATGGCGCTATTCTTCTTTAGGGCTCCTGACTGTGTGTATACATGAACACACACATAGTAATAGTAATATTAACAATAGCAATGTTATATATATATGTATGTATATACGCAGTGTAGCGTCCCCCCCAGACCCTATTCTACTTATTAAGGCTCGTTGTTTACTCTTGTCCTAGTATACATCACCCGAAACACCATCCTGTTTATTGAGGCTCCTTCCTTCTGTTACAGTCTCCTGAAGCCCTAATCGCAGGCGTAAACAAGAACAGCAACTCTGCAGAACCTATGCTGTTGCTTAAATCAAAGACTGTGTGCGAACCCGGATTCGGGTGCAGGAGCTGTCTGCACTGATCAGCGGTCAGAGCGATGTGGATCCCAAGGTTGCGGTCGATCGGTTAAGGGTTTGGGGTTTAGGGTTTAGGGTTTAGGGTGTTTGTTCGCATCCAGGGTCCATGTTTGTTGATTCGGTTTGGGGTTGACTGTTAAGGTTTTTGCAGTCTAGAAGCTGTAGAAGCGCGACCACAGGGGTGTCGGTATTCCTTACTTACAGAATCTCAACAAGGCGCGCGGATAAAATCACAGGTTTGAAGGGTTCAACCCTCTTTGGGTTTACGATTGTTTCGGGTTTGAGCATGTCGATACGAGCATGCATGGCCTTCAACAAGGGGCAAGGGGTCCAAGTACCTAGATAGTGTATGCTTTACCCGTAAAGAGCTAAACCCTAAACCCTAAACCCTTGATGGTTTCAGGGCCAATGCACCAAACGGGTAGATGGACCCTGAGTTCCGGCGTGAGGGATCATCAGGGTTCCGTTGAAAATCGGGGCTGGGTTTTGAGACTGGATTTAGATTCGCACAGGTTTAGGGATTAGGGTTTGGGGTTCCCGGTTTCAGAAACCCAAGATGCGCAAAGTATCTACGAACTTGTGCCCTTCATGCAGCCTCAGTCTTTGGTAGTAGTGTGGCCGTTCTGCTACGGCCGCACGTAAGAAGATGTGAAGACCGTACCTCAACCCTTCTTCGAAGCAGTCTGCCTCATATAAAATTTATGCAAACCAAGAGTCGGGTGTGAGCACCCTAAACAGCCCTAAACGACCCTAAACGTGTGCGCAGGCGTAGCGTTTAAGGTTTATGTTTGAAGGGATCCTCAATCCTGAGCCGATCTGGCTTGTACTCCGGAGTTGCGCGAAGGTTGCATCAAGCTGTCTTCATCAAATTATCGTGTTGTTGATGCAGAGGAAGACGTTGATGCCTTTCTTCTGCTACGCCTCTTGCTGTCTACTCTTTCTCTGCTGTTGATCACATCACTGAGGACGGCCGCAATTCCTCGCGAAACGTTAAACCCGACGAGCCGTATCCACCTCTGTGACACTGAAGCCTTTCCTCCCTTAGACCCTTACACAAAGGGTCCGATACCTTTAATTAAGCACTATGGTAAGATATATAGGGCTTCATATTATGACTTAAGCTATATACCTTAGTTAAAGGGTTTTTTGGGCTCTCTGGTTAATTATCCTTAAACTTAAACCCGAAGCCCTAAGGGTCCAAGTGCCCAAATAGTAGGGTTTCAAGGTCCAAAAACCATTCAGGGTATGGATTTTGGGATCTAAATCCCTATTATTTGGGTACTTGGACCCTCTGGGAAGAGCTGTATCCCCAAGCCTACGACATGGTTCATTGCTCTTGTGTCCGTTGCAGCCGCAGGCTCAGTTTTCCCCGGTAGATTTAGGGGCTTAGGGGTTCGATCTTGGGGCTGTAGACAAGGTGTTTAGGGTTTAGTTCGGGGTTTAGGGTTTAGGGCCTTTATTTAAGGTGTAGGGTTTAGGGTGTATATGGTTTCATAGTTTTCCAGGATGCATGTGCATCATTTTGGACTGATCGTGCTTGCTCTGGCCGGCGAAACACTGGGTCTGTTGCAGAGATGGGAGTGCGTGAAGAACCGCCCTTGCTCCATCCAACTGAGTGGCGATAATGTCACCGCCGAGGACATCATCGTTGTTGACGATCAGACCGCTGACGAAGATGGTGCCTGTCCGGTCTGCTCTGAGACGAGTCACGGCCTATGTCCCTGGCTTTCGGGAGACAGCGGCATTGACCATACTGTCATGTGCGAAGACGGAAGCTTTACCACACAGTGGGCATGCCAGCTGTACGGCTCTGGAGATCGTGTTCTTTGCCCACCCGATACAGTATTGTGTGCAAACAGGGCTTGCGGAGGAGGGCTTGACTTTTGCTGCGAGTCGCAAGCACCGGACGAGGGCACGACCTGCTTGATGAATGGGGGCCCACGTGGTTGCCCCTACTTGGATTTGACCTTCGGGCTACAGGGCTTTGGAGTACCATACTTTAATACCTTTTTTTCTTACAGGAACCCTTATGAAATAAAAGCTTATACCTTTTTCTCCATACTTTAATACCTTTTTTCTTAAAGGAAGCCTTATGAAATAAGAGTTTATACCTTTTTCTCCCTTGGTTACTTAAAAGCCCAGGCTCTCTGCCGTCCTCAATACAACCCATGGTTCGACTCGGACAGGCGGGGGCCTGGGGCCCGACAAAAAGCCGATTGAAATGACCCCTAGGTACGAGGACGACAGCTACTGCTACCTTTTAGGGTTTAGGGTTTAGGGTTTAGCTGCTGCTGCTGCTGCTGCTGCTGCTTCTACAACGACGACGGCCAAGACGACGACTACTACTTCGACTGCTGCGATTACTTTCGCTACGACCACGACTGGCATGAGTCCTACCACTACGACTACTACGACGACGACTGCTGCTGCTGCTGCCTCTGCTACTACTACGACGACGCCCTACTACTACTTCTGCTTACTAACACCACGACGACGCCTGCTGCTACTGTCACGTATGCGACAGCGACCCAAGGCATGCACAGCATTTGCCGATGCAGTCCGGCGCACTTTCTCAACCGAACTGCTGGCATGAGGCACTCCAATGAATCGTTCAGTTTGGTATTTTAGAGTCCAGGGTTTGAAGGTGTAGGGTTTAGGGGTTTGGGTTTATAAGGAAGCGTTTATAAGGGATTGCTGCTTGGGACCGAGAAGGCCAAGCGCACAAGCGATGCGGTGTGTTTAGGGATTAGGGTTTAGGGTTCTAGGGTTTATTAGGGTTCAATGTTTAGGGCCTATTAACTAGGTTTGTATGAAGGTTTATCAAGGTTTATCAGGCTTTAAAAGGGCAGTTTAGGGTTTCTTAGGCTCTACGTTTCAGGATGGGTGACTTTTAACCGGTTTACTTGCACAGCCAAAGCTTATAACAGCCTTGAGCCCACTCGAAAATCTTGGACAAGTGTGATTTAAAGCCTCCACGACGTTGCTGTTTACGATGTGCTGGATGGTGCATCATGTACGTAAAAGCCACAATGCGTACTTGCTGTCTCGAGCAGCGTCTATCCCAGCGTGCGCTGGTTGCATGTTACCCTCAACCTAAATCCCTAAACCGTAACGGCTCACTGAAAATGATATGGAATGGAATCCCGCAGACTCTGTTTCCTGAGGACGGGTCGTTTAGGATGAGTCCTTTTCCAGGGCTTGGCATTTCGGGTTTAGGGGGTATCCACTGAGAATCCTAAACGACCAGGCTGGGAAATTTGTCGGAGCTGTCGTGCGGGGTCACCCCACATGAGAGTCCTGGTGCAAAGGATCCTTCATCCTACCTTGCCTTCATCCGACCTGTGCTGTCCTCTAAAGCTCTAGAGCTGAAAGAGAACGACTAATCAAACCAGCTGAATTTCTGGAATCAACAGGACTCAGATCCTGAACTCTCAACCTTTTACCTTAGAGGAGCACATTTAATAGTCCTTGTCAGAACCGAGGAAAGGCGCCTGATCTATGTAGCTGTATATCGAGAACACTAAACCACCAAAAAAAGAGTCTAGGCCCTGCTATAGGCTCCGTAAAAAAATCACCTGCACTACTGTTGGGGTGTTCCTTGTTCAATTTATACTATAATGCCCCCCCCAAACCCTATTCTAATTATTAAGGCCCCTGTATCATGGCACCCTTATAGCAGCCCATATATGACTAATTCAAACTCTCTAAAGGAACCCTATTCTAGTTATTAAGGCCACCCTAAACCCTAAAACTCAGCCCTGCTCTGCTTGAGGCTGGGAAGTCTCGAAATTGTCGGCCCTTCTGACAGCCAAACTCACGTTTGTACATCGGGCACAGCGGAGTGTAGTCTTCAGGACGGATCCCAAGCCAGGGTCCTCGGGGTTAGGGTTTAGGGGTTAGGGTTTAATTAGGGGTTTAGGGTTTAGGGGTCAGGACGGATCCCAAGCTAGGGGGAACGGGATTATGAGGGCTCTTTCAGAGGCTCCTTAAAGGGATCCTTTAAGAGTTTTGCACGTTCCTTTAAGGGGCCCCTGAGTAGGGGGAATGGGGTTACCTGGAGCCGAAATGACGTATTTTTGTAGGGACTCATATAAGGAAGTCATATGAAATCATGATAGTTGGATCTCTAGGCCTTAAACCCTAAACCCTAAATAGGTTCCTTAAGGGTCCAGGTGGGGTTTGGTGGTTTCGGAAGCAGCAGTCCTGAATTAGAGCCTGCACGCTGTAGAATCCGGAAAACCATGCACCCAGAGCCCCTGCGGGCTTGTTTTAGAGGCTCCTTCAAGGGATCCTTTAAGGGTTCCCTTAAGGGGATTCTATAAGTGGGAGGGCTTTAGAGGATCTATAGGGGGTTACTTTAACGGATCTATGCGGGCTCCTTTAATGAAGGAGGCCCTCATCTCGAACCCCATAGTACCCTGTTTGGCCCCATGTGCCCATATGGGAGTTTCCGAAAATAGGGGACCCTAATGTAGTACCCTAAATAGTAGGACCCTTATTATAAGGACCCCAGAATAAGATACCCCTTATTTTCGGAAACTCACATATGGCATTTGCTTTTGCCCTTTGCACCTGTCTACTTTCTACAGAGTAGTTACAAGTGCACATGGACGCTTCGGGATATGAACCCCTAAACCCTAAACCCTACTGCTCACCCTGAAGGATTTCGGAGGAATCGAGTCCGTCTTGCCGACGTCTCTTGGCGTTCTTCTGGCTGGCTCTCAGGACTTTAACTTTTAGGGTTTAGGGTTAGGGTTTCTATATGAACTATAGAATCTTGGTTGGCTCTTAGGACTTTATTTGTTGGGGTTTCTATGTGAACTATAATGAGGAGGCGAAAAGTTTAACTGTTAGCAGGGGTTCAGAAGTCAGCCAAGGTCTCTGGTGCAAGTGACAACTGCGAAAACCTGCTATTCCGTGGACGTGGAGACGCCGGAATCCTTTGTGGAATCTTTCCGCTTCCGGTGGAATGTGGCCTGGAGTGGCCTCTACTTGCACAGTGCAGGGGAGATTCTTGGAGATATTCGTCCGTGCGCTTTGGGTTCGGGGCTTAGGGTTTAGGAGCAAGGGCCATCTATGCTTCAACAAGCCCTCAAAACCCATATCGAACCCTTCATAGTCACCCTTATCAATCCCTAAAGGACCCCTAGTTGTTACCCTAAGGCTCATGGACCCATGTAGTAGGTACTTAGGCCTTAAAAGGGTCCCTATATAGGTACTTTAAGGCCTAAGTACCTACTATATGGGTACATGGAGCCTTGGGGCTACTAAGTCCCATGATCCTCCCGAGGAGTGTCGCAGACCAGCAGCGCTGGCTGGCTGCCCAGAGCCCTGGTGTCTACTCGCTCTGCTGGTGCAACAACGACCCCCGGCTGTGTAGGGGTTTAGGAGTTTAGGGGTTTAGGGTTCAAGGTTTAGGGTTTAGGGTTTGGGGTTTGGCTGTCTCTAAACTACATGTGGGGGGCCGTCAAAAGTATGGTTGCTTACGAAAGTACGGCACCGAATATTTAGGGTATCCAAAACGGGACCCTAATTTTGACAACCGCCCACATGTTTATTTTGGAGCCCCGTCGGATAATGTAGCTGCTCTTACTTGGAGGATCATAGGACTCAGTAACTAAGGTCATAAATTCCTTAGTTGGGGCTATACAGGTTATAAGTAGTCACAAGTATAGCTTCCTTACTCATAACCCTAGTTACTAAGTCCCATGATCTCTAGGTTTTAGGGTTTAGGGTCTTAGGGTTTCAGAGTTAGGATTTTAGGGTTAAGGGCTTAGGCCTTCCACTCCTTCTTGGTGTGTCTTCAGGCCTTTCTTTATCCGAGAACCCCACTAGACATGATCAACTCCTCAAACTGAGATGTGAGGACACGGCAGGGGCATGCGAGTCGATCTCCGACTTTAACGTTTCGGTAGGGCATTTGGCCCTGCGTGGGCCGAACAAGCAGCAGACGAGGATGGTAACAATCGGAGAGGACTTGGACGCCTTAGGTGTTTGGGGGAGTAGGGCTCCTTCAAGGCATCTGTAGAGTTCCTTTAAGGGATCTATAGGGTTCCTTTAAGGTTTAGGATTTTAGGGCTTCGAGGCTTTAGGGTCTAGGGCTTTTAGGGTTTATAGGGTTTCGGGTTTAGGGTTGTTGCTTTCCCGTTTACAGGCTTATCGGGTTAGAGATTAGTGTGGGTTCGGCGTGGGGCCTATAGGGTGTGTAGGCTTTTGGGTCTGGTACTTGGGTCCATCGGAGAGGATTTGGAGCTCCCTGTGTCTGGTGTTTGGATTTCCACACACGGTATCTAGGCTTTTGAACTGGTACCGCACATTTCGTTAGTATACCTAGACTCTTAAAAGTAGTACCTTTTATTGGATGACATATATTTGATGGTTAGGAACCTTTAGTAAGACTAGTAGGAGATTCAGGTAACCCAAAAGAGGTACTAGATTTATGGGTCTAGGTAAAGGACGTGTTTAGTGCATGAGGGCCTCCAAGACTGGCTCAGGTATTGTTCGCATCCAGCAAGCCTGTGGAGAATCTCAAGCTCAACGATCTTTGGAATCTGAGTCTGTAAACTCAACTGGCTCTGAGTTCTTTTACAGCTTTGGCGTTCTCACCGAAGATCGGCTTCCGCCTGGAACGTACAGCCTGTGTTGGTGTGAACCTGAATACAGTTCGATTCCAGCAATTACTTGCTCAAGCCCCGCAGACTTTGTGACCTTCATTTCAGATGCTTGGCGTTCTCCTGGTTGGCTCTTAGGACTTTAACTTTTTGGGTTTCTATATGAACTAGAATAAGGAGGCCAAAAGTTTAGCTTCTAGCAGGGGTTCAGAAGTCAGCCAAGGATGTTTATGTTCGCTGCCCGCCTGGGCAGTTCGCCAACGATGGCCCTTGCACATCCTGTGCGATGTTCTGGGAGGAGCCCAACATTTGGCGGGACCAATGCCGGGCAGATGCATTAAATCTCGGCGCTGTTGTGTGCATCCTTATCTGCTATCTCATTGGCTGGATCGTGGTATGGTATCAGGTGGGAATCCTTACCTCCAACGACAACCAAGGCTGCCGATGCTTAGGTCTGTCTGGTCGCAAGGCGCGCCGGGCATCCTTGACAAAGTGTCATTCTCAGAACATAACATAGAGTCCCCGAATTCTGAGCAATTTAATGATAGACCTTCCTCAAGTATCTTTATTGAATAAGCTTGTGCAACCTGAAACCCGAACCCTAAACCCTACCCAGAGTAGCCAAGGTACTACAAACGAGGTAAATGTGCCAACTTATTAAGTCATATCCGTTTGCCAAGGTACATTGGTTGCTCTAGGTACATCCTACACCGCTAGGTGCACCTGGAAGATATCACCGCCAGCCTTTCCAAAGATGGTGACTCATTTGCGGCTCGGCGCCGAAAGATTTGCTAGGTGCTCCTGAGTGTAGGACCTTGCAGCATTTTGCATCTGGGGTTTTGCAGTTTCAGGGCTTACGTCATAAGGTCTGGTAAAGAAGGTATAGCACCCCGCAAAGCTAGATTCGCAGTGACTTGCAGAAGGTTGCGTGCGCATCAGTTTGCCGATCGACCCAACCCGAAGACAAGCTTGGGGCTTTGTGTTTCTAGTTTCCAGTGTTTTCAAGGGATTCTAGGGGCTGTAGCAAGTCTCTACAGGTTTTCAGCTATTCGCGGGGTTTCGCGGTTTCAGGTTTAGCCCTCAGGGTCCAAGTACCTAATGATCGTAAATACTCTCCCAAACATTGACCTACGTAACTACTATCCTAAAGCCAAGTACCTGATTTCTGGGTCCTTTGGAATCTTGGGGTAGGGTTTCGGGGTTTAGGGCTTAGGTGCTGCTTGTTCCAGGCCACGATCACGACCAGTGGCCGACACTACCTGTCTGCTCGCTTCGGTGCTTTCCCCATCTACTTCTACCAAACAGGCCCGTCTACCTGGACCCCACACCACCTACCTTTTTATGGTTCCCGAATGGCCGATTGCAGGGTTTGCGTTTTTGTGTTCAGAATATCTTCGGAACTTTACGTGGCACTGAGACCCTAAACCCTAAACCGAAAGCCCAAACTCTAGACCCGGCAAACAGGTTTTAGGCTTTAGGGTTCAGCAAATCTGTGACTGGGTTAGGAGCACCTGAGTTTCTTACATGATACGTGTCTACAAATAGTTCGTCCTGGTGTGACGTCAAAGTCCAGTTGAACCCTGATGCCCTTGAGCAGTCCCTTGCATGCCTTAGAATCCCCTAAACCCTAAACCCTATATTTAGATCCCATAAAGGAGTCGATTCCTTAATTAAGGGGTTTAGGGGGCTCTCTGGGCAGGACACTACATGCTCGACCGAACACCTGAAGCTCGGAAGTTTCTCTACTCCGCACGGCCGTCCGGCTGGAGTAGGGTTACTGAGTAGGGTTTAGGGTTTTATTGGGTTTACTTCAACCTGCCAAAACCTACTTTTTTGTAGGTTCTTATCATAAACCCGAATATGGATTTTATAGGGACCCTACAAAAAAGTAGGTTTTGGTGGGTTAGGGTAAGGGTAAAGTTTCTGTAGTGCTTTAACCCCCCCTCAACCCTAAACTTGAGGACAAGGACTGGGACTAGGGTTTTCCCTAGAGTAACCAATGTATGTTTTAAACAGGGACATGACCCCCCCCAAATTTGGGTATATTTGTTTAGACATTTACCATATGAAAGGTGGTTGCGTACTATTGTGCGTAAGCACTGCTTGGATCTACCTTTAGTCCCTATTGTAGTTCCTATTGTTGATTAAACCAGATCCATAGTTAAGCTAGTTGCACAGGAGACTATAGGTACTTTCCTTTGTCGCATTTCGCTTCGTTTTCGCCAAGACACAGGAGATGCATGCTCTCAGGATCCATATACCGATGTAGTTTCTACGTAGGCTTGACAAGTACCATAGTAGCTGAGTGGATAGCCTTCAACCTTTTGGGGCTTAACTGTTAATACCCTAATTGAAAAGGTTAACAACCTTTTTTGGGCTAGGACACTCAGCCCAGAAGGTGCCTATATATTAGGTAGGGCTTTGGGACATTTTATATTTTCCCTTATTGGGCTTAAGAGGATCTTATTTACTAATATTTTTCAAAGGCTCGAAAAGCCCCACCTAGTATAGGAGCCCCTTTCAAGCCCTGAGTATATACCAGATGGGCACATGGAGCGTTTGGGATGGAAAGGTCTGACTGCAATGCCCCACCAATCCCCTAAACCCTAAACCGTATATCCCTAACCTGGAACTGGGCTTTGGAGTACCATACTTTAATACTTTTTGGGGGACCTGTTACTTAACGGGAACCAAGTATAAAACAAGAGTCTATACTTTTTCCCGGGAAAAGGATGTAATGTCGGAATGTCGGAGATGAGCGTAAGCTTTTGGGTGCTCTAAACTTGAAGTAGTAGGAAGCCAAGGAATGCCTCGAACTACCAAATCCTACATTTGTCAGGGTTCCAACGTATTCTATAATAAGGTGAAAGTAGAAGGTATAGCACTATGAATTCTGAACCGCATAATGTAGGGGCCTGAAGCGAAGGTCCTGGAACAATACCAGAGACTCCAATATCCCTTAAAGAGTATCCCTCAATGCACATTAGGGATCCTACTACAAGTTAAGGCATCTTCCTTAATTTAGGCATATTGGAGTTTTAGAACAATCCCCATTCAATAACGTCCGCGGTTCGTGCACATGCCGGTATCGGCATGAGGACATGTTGAAGCCTTGTACAGCCCACGCTCTGCGCCATGTTTGAGAAGATTCTGACGGTAGTGTCCTGTTATCTTGTCCAGGGTTTTCGCACGTGGGAGGGTTTGCATGGTAACCCAAATCCATAAGCTTTCAATCCTTAGAGTTCGGATTTCGCAGGCATTCTGTGAGTTAGTCGGCAGTCCAGTTATTCGTCCCTTATAGACTTAAAGTTCCTTCATGATTAACTGTATTGACCCTAAGTTAGGGAGCCATGTCTGCGATGTCTAGTGGTCGCTGAGGCCATTGGGACCTCGCCGATTGCAGCTCTTGGATGAAGCTGATCTGCAAGACGGGGTGGATGTAGTGTCAAGGGTTTCGGGTTTAATAGTTTAGGGCTTCGGGTTGGGAAGAGACGGCTTGGTTGGCACTCTATATACTCCACAAAAACAGCTCATTAACCCTAGGCCTTCACCCCTTTAAGCCCTGAACTATTCGCGCCCGAACCGCTAATCCTGAACCCTGAACAGTAAACCCTAAGCACAGGCATGAAGATCTCAGAACATGGGCTCAGGGGCACTTTGAAATAGTTTTCTATTCTTGGATTCCTGCCATCCTTCAGGAACAGCTAAAATTCTTTTTTTTGCTCGGGGTCCCTAAGGGTCCATGTACTCATATAGTATATACACTGGCCTTAATGTAGTCCTTATATAGGTACTTTGGGGCCCATGTATCTCTATATGGGTACATGGACCCTTGGGGCGGAGGAAGCAAAAGGGCTTTTGGGCCTCGGAGTAGCTCTCCGTGTGGGTGAGCGAAAAGGCTCTACCAGGACCCCCCGGGCCCTTCAATGTGCTTAGGGTTTAGGGTTAGGGTTCAGGGTCTAGGGTGCCTTACTTAGAGGATCGTGGGACTTAGTAACTAGGGTTATAAGCAAGAAAACTCTACTTATAGCCCCAATTAAGGTCCTTATAACCTTACTTAACTAAGTCCCATGACCCTTTAAGTAGGGTGGTAGCGTTTAGGGTACTTTGGGGTTCAGGGGAAAAGGGTTAACCACGACCCCCCAAGTTATGGCCCACGAGAGTCGGTGTTTGGGGTATATCAGAGGGTAGTTGGGGGGTTTAGGTGATGACCCTCATCTTCAAGCTTTCGCAACTAACGACCGTGGAAGAATGGCCTTGTGTAGGTGTCGGGCCATTATTTTACCTACTTTTGAAGGCTTAGGGGGCTTAGGTATGGTATAAGGCTTTATGATTGAAAGGCAATACTTATAGTCTCCGTTGTAGTTCCTTTTTGGGTTACCCCATTATGGGATCCTAACTCTAGAATGGGTTACACCACAATAGGTACTACGGTACTGCCTTAAACCCGAAACCTTGAATAAACCTTGTGGGCTGTTTTGAGACTCAGGCCAAGGCTTCCCTTAGAGGCTTGGGGTTCAGGCAAGGTTTTCGGAAGTGCCTCGGGGTACATACGGTTGATGATATAAATCCTGCATGACCCATAATAAGGAATATACCATAATTCCCATAGTTTAGGGTCCTTAAGGTAATGCAGGATTTATATCATCAACCGTAGCGTTTAGGGTTGAGGGTTCCTGGCTAAGGACTTCGGGGTTCAGAGTCTAGGGTTTAGGGTTTAGGGTCCTCAGCACGAGCCAGAAATGCAGGGCAGAGCTCCACAGCTCAACCCGATAACCCCCACAACCCGCCGCCCTACCTCATGAACCTAGGGGGTTTAGTAGGGATTCGGATTCCCATAATAGGGTTCATATTAAGGAATCCCTACCCCAAGAATCTAAAACCCACCCTTTGGCCGCCCATCACGGGAACCCTCAACACATCTCAGCGGAAAGACACAGAAGCCACAGAACACCTTAGCCTTTAGTAGGTTCCCGGGTAGTATGCTGTGTTCCCTTTCTATTTCAGGGTCTCCTTGTTAAAGCCGAATACTAGGACGGGCTGCTGGGGAACCTCGTTAACCCTCAGAAACAGCAACCCTAAACCTTAAACCCCAAAAACCCTATACCCTATAAGCCCTAAGCCCTATAAACCCTAAATCCTATACACCCTAAACCCCTTAAGCCCTAAACTTTATACCCTATAAGCCCTAAACCCTATAAACCCTAATTAAACCCTGTAAACCCTAATCCTATACACCTTAAACCCTATACACCCTAAACCCTTATAAACCCTATAAACCCTCTACTCTATAAACCCAACTCACCCTAAACCCCTAAACCTTATAAACCCTATTCGCCCTAAACCCCTATATACCCTAAACCGTATAAACCCTATACACCCTAAGCCCCTAAAGGGAACTCCAGAAACTTGGAATATGGTTTCATGGTAGGATACCCTATAATTTACCATAAAGGGTTTAGGATAATCATATTCCAACTTTCTGGCTTCTACTTTAAACCCTAAACCACGCACCTCTGGGCCGAGGCGATGGGCAAACCGGTTGGTGAAGCCGAGACATCCCGAGGATGCTCAGCTTGAAGACCAAGGCTTGGGTTTATTGTTTAAGGTTTAGGGGTTTAAGATTTAAGGGTTTAGGGTTTAGGGTTTAAGACTCCCAGAGACTCCAATATTCCTTAATTAAGGAATATAGCTTAAAGCATAATATGAACCCCCTTATAGTTTAAGGTATATTCCTTATTTAAGGGGTATTGGGCTCTCTGGGCTAAGGTTTGGGTTTCCGGGTTCTGGGTTTTAGGGTTTGGAGCTTTCTGGGTCTGGGTTTTAGGGTTCAGGGGTTTAGGGCTTTAGGTTTTTTAGGGTTCAGAGTTGTTATGGTTTCGAGTTTTCTGGGTTTTGGGGGTCGGGTTTGGGTTTGGGTTGCAGGCGCAGTACCTAGCTTTACAACTAGTGCCCTTTTGGTCTTTCCTTTTGCTGGGGTGTCTGGGGCTATTTAAAATCGAACAGTGGGAACAGGCATCGATTTCGCGACGATCAGTGCCGGAGGTGCCCTTTAGGTTTGGGTTTAGGGTTTATACGGGTCTCAGGGTTTAGGGTTCAGGGGGTGATGTTCTATCGTTCGGGCTTCTGTTTCAAGGCTTTGGCTTGCGGGGCTTTAGAGTGCCCCCATGGTGCCATTCGTAGAACATGTACAATCCCAAGACACCCTTCTAGAGCCCTTATGAGGACTTTGCTGGGCTTTTTGGGGTTTGCGGCTGCGCTTCTGCTCGCAGTCACGTGCTGCAACCAATCGAAAAGGAAAAGGAGGGACCCTTAATGGGGACCCCTACACTTCAATGGGCGATATAATGGGTATATAATAGCTATAGTTTGGGTATATACCTAGGGGTCCTTATTAAGGGTCCCTCCTTTTCGCCTTTGAACCAAGGCTACTTCGTGCTGCCCTTCGTCCGCTGTGTCCTCCACAGCGATGTGGTTTGCGATGGGCTGCCTGCAGACTTTAGCCTGGGATATTAAGCAAGTCTGTCTTTTAAACTTTTTCCTCGGTGAATAGGTTCAGTCCCGTAGTAAATAACCTTATCCCCAACACCCCAACCCTGTGCCCCAAAATCCCAACCTTATCCCCCCAAGCCCTAACCCAAAACAGCCTCAAACTCGAAGCCCTCAAGCCCGAGCTCCGGCGCAGCACATCAGGTCATTGTCGCACCTATCCTGATTCTTTGCTCACCGCCGTTGCTGCTGATGGCACACTTGGACTACCAGGTTCTCGCGTTCTTTCAAAACTCTGCGGAAACTGTTCAACAATCAACCTTCAGAAGGAAAGTCGATACCTGCCCGCCCCAAAGCACTAAACTCCCAAACCCCCAGAAAGCCATAAACAACAAGCCCGCGCCCGGATCTGGAACCTAAACCCCAGAACCAAGGCCCAGAATTCGTGAAGCCCGAACTAGTTTCGAAAGCAACCTTCAGACTAGTGTAGAAACCCGATTAAGAAACCTTGGGCATTTGTTCGGGTTCCGTATGTGAATGCTATATACTATTTTTGGGTTATAGGCCTAGGGTTGCTTAAAGGTTCCTACACTAAGACTGTGAAGCCGTCCTGATCCCTCAGACCTGACCGGGTTTAGTGTTTTGGGTTTATAGGGCCTAAACCCATGAAAAATCGAAACCCGAGACCTCGCACCCTAGGAGACTTAGCAAGTAAGGTTATAAGTACCTTAATTGGGGTTATACGTATAGTTACCTTACTTATAACCCTAATTACTACGTCCCATGATCCTCTAAGTAGACCCCTTTTTATCCAGAGTACCCTTCAAGGACGCCTTAAAAGCACCCTTAAAGGAACCCCTCAAAGCTCTGAGAACCCTAGACTACCCTGACTACCCTTTCAGGATCCGTCTTAGAGAACCCTCTACTACCCTTGAAGAGACGCCGTTTAGAACCCCTAAAGGAACCTTTAACGGAACCCTAGTCGAAGTATGAAGGCGTCTACAGTACCTTTTGTTCGTCTCCATGGTGGTTCCTGTGTTTGGTTTATCCAACCTCATATTGTAGGATCCTGAACTTAAAACTGGTTAAAACAACTACAATGGAGACTATAGTTATGGTTTTTGGGCAATAGAACTTTCTACTACACTAATCATGCTGCTTCACGGAGGCCTTAAATGAAAAAATCATAAAGGAACCTGTAAAAGGAAGCCTGGTCCAAGAAGGCCCCTATATTGTAGTACCCTTATGGATCCCTTATAGTAGCCCTGATAGACCCCTTTAAAGGAGCCCTATTCTAATAGATTATGAAGGCCCCTTAACCCTGAGGTTCCCTACAGCCTGGAGGGGGGCGTCGCCACGATGCTGGGTCCTTGTTAATGGGTTTAGAGTAAGTTATCATAGTAGGGGTCTATGGTAAACTATATGGTTTCCTTAGTATGGTAACTTAAAAACCCCTAAACCTTAAACCCTAAACCCCTAAGCCCTAAAACCCTGAACCCCTCAACCCTATACAAGCCCTAATTAAACCCTAAACCCTAAACCCCTGAACCTTAAACCCTGAACAAGAACCCAGGATGCTTTTGGGTTGCCTTCTGGGCTTCCTGATCTCCCGAGTGCTCAAGCGACTCCGCTTTGTCTTTTACGGGAGTTTCCGAAAAGTAGGGGTACCTCATTTTGGGGTCTTTATAGTTAGGATCCTACTTTTTAGGGCCTTTAGGGTACTATATTAGGGTCCCCTATTGTTGGAAACACCCATATATAGGGCTTACGGGAGGGTTCTGTAAGGGCTGCTATAAGGGTTCTAGGTTCTACAAGGGTGCTATAAGGGTGCTCAGGCGACTCCTCTTTGTTTTATTGGGTTTCGGGATTAGGGGATTAGGGTTTGGGGGGATAAAGGTTTAGGGTTCAGAGTCAAGGGATTATGGTTTAGGGGTCAGGGTTTAGCGTCTAGGGATTTTAGGGTTTAGGGGCTAGGGTTCTACGGGAACAATGAACGGACAGCAGGTACTTTCTTCAGAGGTGGTCGCCCATCCACCACTCCATCGCCGCATTCCAGGAGAAGCTTTGCGAAAGGCAGTATGTGCCAACATCCTGTGACTAGGTCGCAGTTTGGAGAAACTTCCAGCCGTCATGTATAATACCTTGTTCAAACCTCCAAAAACCTAGAAGATTTGCATACGAGACCAGCATGCAACCTTAAAAACAAAAACGTAATAATCAGATAGGGAATACCCTGCTAAAACCTGAAAATGCAAAGCCCTGCAATACCCGTTCACAACCTCCAAAAACCTGTAAAATCAGGTTTTGTGTTATTGGATTTGGGGTGTTCAGGGGTGCTGGTATCTCCACCACACACTTAAAGGAGGATCTGGCTTAGCAACTAGGGTCAAAAGCCAGGTAAGTATGGTGATACTGTAGACTGAATTACTTGTAACTCCAATCAAGGTACTTGGAACCTTACTTACTAAGTCCCCTACCCGCCACTTCTCAAACCCTTATGGATGCCTTTGAGGAGCCCACTAAGGAACCTTTTAATTTACGGAACTTTGCTTACTAAGCCCCATACCCACCCTTGTAGGACCCTTCTAGATCCCTTTGAGGAGCCCTTTTAGAAACCCTGTAATCCCCTCCCCTCCCCCTAACATTAAACGCCCCCCCCCCCCCCCCCGCTCCCTAATATAAAAATTGGATTTCGGAGGTTTAGTGTTAATATTAGGGGGGGTTTCGGTGCATCCACGTACCCGGACTCCCAGCTGCTAGCTATCCTGAGCCTGGAGCCCTGAGGCCCTACTAAAGCCCCAAGCCCTAAACCTCGAGCCCTAGACCCTAAAGCCCTGAGCCCTAAACTTTAAGCCCTAAAGCCCCAAGCCCTAAAACTTTAGCCCTGAGCCCTAAACCCTTAAACCCTAAAGCTCTGGTGTCTTTAGTACAGCTGTAATCTTTGGCTCTATTAAAACTTATACAATCCTAGCCCCCCCCCACCCCTAATGTTTTTTAATTGACTTTCAATTGTGGGCCCGAAACCGTGAAATTCCGGGGGCCGGGAGTTTTTCTATTAGCGGGGGTTTAACAATCAGGGGAAGGGATTACTTCAGGGAGCCTTACTTAGCGAAACCCCAGAACCTAAACCCTAAACCCCAAGCCTTAAGGGGCCTTACTTACTAAGTCCCATGATCCTCCCTACAGGTCCCTCATGGATCCCTTTCAGGAACCTTTTAAAGGAAGGAGCCCTACTTACTTAGCCCATTGATCCCCTAAGTAGCCCCAAAACCCATATAGAACCCTTAGTGGTATCCCTTAAACGGAGCCCTTTCAAGGAACCCTTTAAAGGAACCTTTATCAGGAACCCTTTAAAGGAACCCTTTGAAGGAGCCCTTTAAAGGAACCCCTTTACAGACGCCCTTTAAAGGAGCCCTTTACAGCAACCCTTTTTAAGGAACCCTTTTTAAGGAGCCCTATACTTACTAAGTCCCATGATCCTCCGAGCAGGCGAGAGGGGTGCAGACCGCGCCCTGACAGCCTGGCAGATCTTCGAGCTCATGAGTGGCCTTGCTTTAAGGGTCTTAGGGGCTCTTAGGGCTTAGGAACATAAGGCTCTTTCAAAGGGCCCATGAGTGGCCTTGCTTTAAGGGTTTAAAGGGCGTTTAGGGCTTTAGGGTGTAGTTTAGGGGTTTCGGGGTTGGGGGTTTAGGCTTTTCAGCATTTTGAGTTGAGGGGTTTACGGTTCAGAGGATTAGGGTTTCGTTTTTTCGACCCCCCAACTGCCCTCTAACACACCCTGAATACCCAGTATTAAGCCCTAAACCCCTAAACCCTAAACCCAAACCCCTAAACCCGAAAACCGTGATAGGGATTCTATGTGATACGCTTCTACCAAGGTTCTGTAGAGCAAAAGATTTGGGTTCAGGATTTCGGGTTTAGGGTTCGGGTCCAGGGCTTGGGGTTTAGGAAGTACGGTGTTTAGAGTTCAGGGTTTAGCGTTTCTCACGGGATGCTTCTTATAATTTGGGGTTTATCAGGCCCTTTCAACTCAATGCAGACTAGAAACCGCGTTTAGTGATCGTATCCCAAACACATCCCAGGCGAGTTCAAACAGTACATTCGTGATCGGAATCTGTACTACATCGATTCCAACATCATCCATCCTCTGACGCGTCAGTGTCAGCTGTCTCTTGCCGAGCTGCTGGGCCCCTCCAAGGTGCAATGGTTCGTAAGTCACTTTTGGGGTACAAGCTTTGCATACACCTGCGATGCTCTCAGAAGACATGCCGAGAATGCAGCGAAGCAGTCTGGGATGACGTGGCAGTCGGTCTCTTACTGGATCTGTGCCTTTAGCAACAACCAATATCGGATTGAAGAGGAGCTCGGGAAAACCCACAAGGAGTCATCTTTCTTCCTCGCCCTGCACAGCAGCTGCGTGCATGGCACTTGCATGGTTTTGGATGAAACTGGGCTTTGGAGTAGGATACTTTAATACCTTTTGGGGAATTGTTACTTGAGAGGAGCCATTATAAAATAAAAGTCTGTACTTTCTCTCCCTGGCTACTTCATTTATAGGGATATTTAGGGGGTAGGGGGAGGGGGATAGAGGACTATACGTCCTAAAAAAGGGCATCAAGGCCCCCTACCCTCTTCAGGGTCCCTATGATTCATCCTAATTTAGTGCTCCTGGGAGGGTCTTGGGCTTTCTGGGGGAGGGTTTCGGCTTTGAGGGATAGGGTTTGGGATCTCACAACGAGGGTCCATGAGCCTTAGGGAAGTTACCATAGCAGGGGTCTATAGTAAACTATATTATGGTAATGTAAAACCCCTAAACCCCTAAACCCTAAACCCCTAAACCTTAAACCCTAAACCCCTAAACCCAAACGGGCTGTGACGGCTAGAGACTAGTGCAGTCGCAAAAAGGCCCTCAAAAAAAAACCCTAAACCCCCGAACCCTAAAGCCCAGGAAAAGGCTCTGCCCCTGACGAGATCTTGGTGCCTATTTGAGCTCCTCCAAACGATGAACCTGGAGAAGGAACCTGGGCTCTTAATTTATCCAAGGGTAAAAGGAGGGACCCTTAATAAGGACCCCTACTCTACAATGGGCTATATAATGGGTATATAATGGCTATATTAAGGGTCTATACGAAGGAGCCTGGGCTCTTAATTTACTTGCTTAGCCTATTGGAGAACTTTAAACTTTTTGGCTTCATATATTTGGTCTAGCTCAAAAAGTTTGAGCTTTGTTTGGGCCTGGTTATTGGAGAACAGAGTTTAGGAGCCTGAAGCTTTAAAGTTTAATGTGTAATCAGGGTTTAGGGGGTTTAGGGGTTTAGGATTTAGGGTTTAGGGGTTTAGGGGTTTAGGATTTAGGGTTTAGGGGTTTAGGGTTTAGGGGTTTAATGTAGGGCCTTATACCTAAATCCTTAAAGTAACCCCTTATAGGCCCCTTTAAAGGGAGCCCTATGTCGAAACCTGAAGGCTTCAAGTTTAGGGTTTAGGGGGTTTAGGGTTTAGGTACTGTCCCCATACAGTAAGAGTTCCATAACAGGGCTACGATTAAGGTCTCAATATATCTATATATTATGAATATTATTCAAGCATTACTGAGTGCGAGCCGTACCCAAGGTTTAATGTAGGTTTAGGGGTTTAGGGGTTCAGGGTTTAGGGGTTAGGGGTTTATATAATAATGTAGGAACCTGATCAAGAAACCTTGGGCCTTTCTTACTGTTCCCTTACATGAATCCAACCGCTTTGGGGTTATATGCCCAGGGATTCTTGAACAGGTTCCTACATTATAGTTTAGTTTGTGTAATCAGTTAACGTACTTTAACACTTTTTTGGGGGCACCCGTTCCTTCCTTAAACCGCTCGAACCCACATGAACGATATTGTTTGTTCTTTTTCCTCCCTAGATGCTTCAAAGCCAAGGAAAGAAAGGATTTTCAGGGACTTCAATTTTGTACCAATACGGGCGTCGTGAACTTGGGCCAGGCTACAACGGAAGTTGCCATCAACATTGGAAGGCATCTTGCTGTTCTGTCCCTGGCCGATGCCAAAGCAACAAGGGCCAAGGACCACGACACCATCCGCTCCCTCGTCATCCAAGAGATGGGCGGTTTTGAGCAGATTGACTCGAAGCTTCGCATGCATATCAGGGATGCTCTGATGGTCTGCAAACAAGCCACCGAAAGCAGCTTTAGCGACTTGTGTGAGCGTCTCGAAGGGACCGGGCACGCAAGTGTAAGCCTCATTCAGCTAACGAAACTGTAGATGCAGTGGTACGTGGGCAGTTGTCCGATCACCAACCGACACCGTAACGCAACGATGATGGGATGTCGAGAAAAGGGTTTGATTTAGGTTTAGGGTGACACTGGCCATACTTTAGTGGGCTAGCCATGTATGAGATCCTGATGATCCTAAGGACCTGCATGAGTTTTTTTTTGTTCCAGCAGGACTGGCTCCCTTCCCGGGGTCCTTAGGTAAAGGATTCTACTATTTAGGGCTCTATCGCAGGGTCCCCTGTTTTGAAGCTCCCATACGCGGGCACACACACACGCAAGCCAGAATCACGACACAGAAACCTTACTTCGTACAACGTCTTATCCTCTGTGGCATGCCATCCAAACATTGAGACATGTTCATCCAGAGGTATGTAGGCATCCAAGGAAGGAGCATCATCTAAGGGCATACTCGAAGTAACCACACCTGGTGAGCCCTTAAACCCCAGGCCTGGAATGATACGGTGGATGATCTAAATCCTGCATTAGCTTCATGACCGTAGACCTTGGGGATTGTGGAAAAGTCTGATTATGGGTAATGCAGGATTCACATCATCAACCGTAGGTCGTGACTGCCCTAAGCCCTGAACCCCTAAACCCTAAACCCCTAAACCCAGGGCATCTTGCCGAAGTCACAGGGTGTACTCACGAGACTGGCCGAGTGGCTGCACCTACAGAGAAAACCCAACCTGGTGGTTTCCAGCTGCCCACGTGTGCTTTAGTGTCTTTTTCAGAGCTCCCGAAGGGAATGCTCTAGACGCCTGGATGTCAAGATGTCCACTAACGCTGGCCCAGCTCGAAATCAAAGCGCTTATATACCCATTTGGTGTCTGTGCGCAGTATTCAAGAACTGGGTCTTTGGATCGTGGTACTTAGATGCAGGTATGTTTTCGGAAATGTACGCTTGTCAGGGTTCAGGGCTCGAGATGTTGATGTTCGGGGTTGAGGGCTGCAAGTTGTGAGCTCAAGAACATTAGACTGACGCCTTATTTCTCGAACCTAAACCGTCAAACTTAAAACGCTGAAGTTCCTTAACCCTGTTCCGCGGACTCCATAGAGCTGTGTAGGATCTACCAAATCCAAGGTAAGCCTCAGGCCGACTTAAAAGATCTGGAGTCTTAGCATGTTGGTTTAACTTTTTGGCTGTAAACTCAACTTTTCAACTTGTGGGGTTTTTAGTCGATTCTAAAAGTTTCAACTGTTATTTCCCTGCGTTTTGGGCCAGTGAGTTATAAGCAGGGTTATAAGTCCCTTATCTGGGTTTGAAACCCCTACAACTGTTCTTGTAACCTACCTACTACGTCCCCCCGATCACCTAACACCCTCATAGGTTGGACCCTCTCGTTGTCACTTCTGATCATGGCTTCTTGTTCGCTAGGACTCCGAAAGCCTCCGCACAGAAGAGCTTCCTTTTGGTTGGTTTAGGGTCCCTAAACCCCTAAACCCAGAACCCCTCAACCCCTAAACCCCTAAACCCTAAACCCCTAAACCCTATCCCCTAAACCCAAAACCCCTCAAGCCTCAACCCTAAACACACCTCACCACGAAAGCTACATCTTTGAGGACCTGAAGCCTTGCAAACACCACTCCGCAGCTCAATTTTCAAAGCCCTTAACCTTAGGGTCTTCCCCCTGGACAGCCATAACCCACAAGGCGTTTAAGTGATTCTCCCCGGTTTTTCGGGCAAAATTTGTCAGGCTTTCGGTTTGAATCGGTGGCGGGGCTGCTTCAACTCCCATGGGATTTCGACTTTAAGCTTCAGGGTGGCTAAGTTGAACCGGGTTTTGGTTTCGATCGCGTGTTGAAACATTGTTCCGCTTAAACCGGTTGCCCGGATGCTTCCCCTAAGCCGGTTTAAAGTGTCTTAGATCCCCAATACCCAACCTTTAAACTTTTTGGGCTCTTGTAATGAAGGTGGGAGTCGGAAAGTTTAAGCTTGTATATCTGTGGTTTATTGGGGTAGTATGGTTTGGGATGCTTCCTTTAAGCCAGCTAGCGGTTTAAATAAGTTTGATGTACATGAAGGTTTACCCCAAGGGTCCAAGTACCTAATGATCATATACTCACCCAAATCCTAACCTACATAACTTCTATCCTAAACCGAGTACCTAATTAGTGGGTCCTTTGGACCCTTGGTTAGGGTCTAAATTCCGCGGCTCTTCGGCCAAACCCGGTGTGGCTGGGAACCCGAAGGTCTGAACTTCCTAAACCCCTACGGTACATGTCGGCTAATTTAATCCCGATGTGAGGGTGAGGCTTAGGGTGTAAGGTTTAGAGTTAAGGAATCCCGTACAGTTTAAACCGTTGCGGGCCTGTAAATTGGGCATCTGAGATGGTGTCCTGTCAGGTTTGGTTTTCCCGATTCCAACAATCGGTGCAGGAGTGGCGCATGCACAGCAATCCGTGCACCAGTGTCGGGAGCTCAGCTTTAAGCCAGTTTGGTGACCATACGAGGGTGCAATTTGGGATTTCGACGGTAGATTAGATGTTCGCGTTTGGTGTAATTCCAGGGTGTAAAGTTGAGGAGTAGGGCCTAGAGGAGGTAGTATTGTGCCCCCAGCAATTCACTCCAAACTTTACGTTGTTGCCACGAAAAAATCTTAAAGCCAAGCCCCGTCATCCCTTTAACCTTATCACCCTAATCTTTGGGGATATATGGTTTAGGATATTAGACTCAGAACCCTAGATTTTCTAGTGATGGTTGTGGGGTTTAGGTTTAGCGTTTGGAAGGGATCCCTAACCCCCTCCCACCGTGCATAGACCACGATGTGAGGCGAAGTTGCAGTAATTATGTAAGGAATGCACGACTACCTAATTTCGACGTGTACTATGCAGACGACACCGTTCTGTTTTCAACCAAAGCGAGGTCACTTAATGAGTTGATTCGGCATGTTGAGTTCTTTTCTGAGCAGTATGGGTTGAGAGTTAGCCGGTCGAAATGCTGGGTTTATACAAATGCAGGAGAGCTTTCGCATACATTTCTAGGAGGATGTCCCGCTGTTGAAAGCACAAGAAGCCGTGTATCTATATAACAACCTCAAAAAACCGTTAATATCCGACACGATGGAAGTCTCCCGATGCATTCAAGATGCTTAGCGTTCTTGGTTGGAGCTTCATGTTTTCTGGAAGGACACCTGTGCTAATCGGAAATGGCAGCTTCTTATCTGCGACGCAGTTATCATGAGCCGATTGCTTTACGGACTTGAAACAGCTGATTTGACAAAATCGTACCACAGAGGCTTGTGTAAGATGTTGAGCTTAGATTCTACACACGCCAACCGAGCAAATACAAATGCCAAGCCGCTGGAACTCACAACACAAGCAGCTGGCAGACAAATCATACCTTTTGACTTAATCCCGATTCACTCAATCCGAAACCGTAAAGGCGTTGTGGCTTTCTCCATAGGCCTGATTGCTCTGATTGTCCCCGAAGTCTCAGGCCAACGCAGTGAACCGGCAGGCCGTGCCACAGTGTACATGTCCTTAAGGGTTTGGGGTTTCGATTTTGGATTATCTGCAGTAAGGGCCTCAGGGTTTCGGATGACGGTAAGGGCCTTGAGGGTTTGGGGTTAATTACAGTACGGGCCTTAACGAATTAAACTACAACAAGAGCCTCAAGGGGCCTCTAGGGTTTGGATCTTTGGGTAATTTAGTCGTTTGGTTTGAGGCGGCGCAGTGAGTCCCCCGGGCTCCAAGCATACAGATAGTATCTACTTTGGGGTCTAAAGCCTATAAATAATACCTACTTTGGGCTATTTGGAGCCCAGGGGAGTGGGGGTGTGAAGTTTAGCCATAGTATTCCTGGTGGTTCATCGAGGCCCCACCCGCCTCGATGACGTGCAAAAAGCTTTATTAGTTACATTACTCCAGCCCTTGTGCAAGAGATTGATGCAAGATTTTGCCGGTGTTATTCGCCGGTTTAGTATGCAGTTTAGAAGGGGCCCCCACCCTGTAATAGTGGTATAGTAGGAATATAGTAGGGCCCTTATAGTCACTATTACAGGGTGGGGGCAGCTTCTAGTATACAGTGGTGATGTCGGGCTGTTCCTGTTCGCATAGGACTCGCGACGTCTCGATCTAGGAAATGTTAACCTTATCCTAAACCCTAAACCCTTTATCTGCAAGTTGCTGAAAAACTATGCTTGAAAGTCAAGGAAAGCCTCATCTGAAGTTTGCGTTTAAAGCTACGTGAAGCCAAAGTGAAACACATGCGGGAGTTTCCGAAAATAGGGGACCCTAACATAGTACCCTACATCGTAGGATCCTTATTAACTATAAGGACCCCAAATTAAGGTACCCCCCCCCCCCCATTTTCGGAAGCTCTCATGCCAACCAAGTTTCGTGCCATGTCGAAAAGCTGAGCCCAGCCAGCCTCAACTCTCATGGCACCTGAACCATGGCCATGGACCCTTCATGTCCTAGATTCCTGAGCAGTACCCTTTTGCCCTTATTACTATAGGGTTGCCCTATGAAAAAGCCGGGTAGTAGATAGTAGGAGGCACCCTTATAATTAAGCCTTATAATGAAGGGGCTACTCAGGAACCTAGAATTTCATTCGACTGGAGATTCAGTCCTCCAGACGACTTCGTTGGCTCGCGTTTTGGTCTACAGGCATGAGGCGGTATGCATGGCTTAGCTAGGCTTGGAAACATGTTGCATGATAGCAGTAGTGATGGCATTAGCAGAACTAAGCTCCATTGTTCATGCATGTTGTGTTGTAACCGAGAAAGCAAAAGAAAGATGCCGAGGCCGAAACTGAAACAACTGAGTGGAATTTTTGCAACGATGGAATAAGATGGCTGTCATACGTGCAAATACTACCATGGGCATGCCGACTTGATAGCACACGTCTATCACAACCTCCAGCACCGCCGCCCCCCCCCCCGCCCCCCACCACCACCACCACCACCACCACCATCACCACCACACCTGCCTTCAGTACGATCGTCACCACACTGCGCACCCAAAGCTCGGAGCCGACATCCGGCACAT